ATAACAAATGCCACTTTCTTGGGTTCCCTTCAATCATCTTCTTTATAATCCCAATGATAATCTTATTTGCTGCTTCCGCCTGTCCATTGGCTTGGGGATAATAAGGTGAAGAATGATGTAACCGAACACCGAATTCTGCCAAGAAATTAGAGAACCTTTCCCCTGTAAAGACCAAGCCTTGGTCGGTTGTTATAGACTGAGGAATACCATATCTGTAAATAATTTGGTGCAAAACGAAGTCTATCACTTCTTTCTGATCCACATTTTTCAAAGCAACCGCTTCCACCCATTTGGTAAAGTAATCAGTCGCGACCAATATGAAACAGTGATGTTTCGATGAAGCAGGATGTATCTTACCAATAATATCCATAGCCCACGATTTAAAAGGCCATGGTTTTGCCAAGAATTGTAATTCGGTTACTGGCAAATGATTTAAGTTTCCATGTCTCTGACATTCCTGGCAGCCTTTTGCAAATTGTATGCAATCCTCAAAAATCTTAGGCCAGAAAAAACCCAAGCGATGAATGGCCCATCTCATATTGAGACCTGCCCGATGAGCTCCACATATCCCACCATGTACTTCTGTCATCACTTCTAGAGCTTCTTCAGATCCCAAGCATTTCAAAAGTAAACCTTCAAATGATCTCTTGTACAAAATTCCATTTATCAATTGAAAACGTAAAGCCTTCAATCGTATCGCAATTGAAACACTCGCACCAGGATTCTGTAAATACAGGATAAGCTCCGTTCTCCAATCGGACACTGTTTCGCCATCGGACTTCTGTCCGATAAAAACTTCGCAATCGGGCTCCTGACCGACCGTCTCCTGCCCGACAGGCTCGCAGTCGGGCTCCTGTCCGACACTCTCCTGCCCGATCATAACTTCACAATCGGGCTCCTGACCGACAGCCTCTTGCTCGACCGTAACTTCACAGTCGGGCTCCTGTCCAATATCCTCTTGCCCGTTCGTAACTTCGCAGTCGGGCTCCTGTCCAATATCCTCTTGCCCGACCGTAACCTCGCAGTCGGACTCCTGACCGATATCCTCTTGCCCGACCGTAACTTCGCAGATCGGGTCTGTCTTTCCTTCTATGCCCGACTTGACCTCCGACCACATATCCTCCAGAATTCCTTTACATGCCCTTTGAGCCAATTCATCAGCACGTTGGTTTTCTTCCCTCGGAATGAACTCAATTATTACTTCTGAGATTTTTGTCAGTAACCGACTCACAATGTCCCTATATCTGCGAAGATGAGGGTAATTGCACACATATTGATTGTTTACCTGGATGACTACTAATTGAGAATCCCCCCTTATGATTACAGACTGGACCTTCCTGGCAATTAAAGCCTCCAAACCCAAAATTAAAGCTTCATATTCTGCCGAATTATGGGTCATGGATTCCAATCGTAGTTGTAAGTTGATCTTTTGACCATCAGGTCCTTGCAAAAAGACCCCTGCCCCCGATTTGTTTCCAGAGGTAGAACCATCAAAGAACATCAACCATGTTCTGGTACTTATATAAGGCACACATCCGACCTGTAGATTATCCGGATATGATGCACAACTAAATGGTCGGACACTATCACAAAGAGAATACCCGACTTGTGAGAATTCTGCCAAGAAGTCGGCTACTGCTTGTCCCTTAATTGCCCTCAGTGGGGAATGGTGAAGATCGAAAGGAGCCAATTTGATGGCCCATTTCATGAGTCTGCCCTTCATAGTAGGTCTCTGTAAAATCAATTTGATGAGATCCACCTTTGATATGACCTCAACTCTTCTGGGCAGCAAATAATGCTCGAGTTTAGTGCAAGCGAAGACCAATGAATAACACATTTTTTCTGGGATAGTGTAATTCAGTTCTGGTCCTGTAAGGGTTTTACTGAGATAGTAAATTGCCCTTTCCTTCCCGTCATCACCATCCTGCGCCAATAAACAACTAACCACTTCATATGTATTTGCCAAATAAAGTTTGAGTGGCCGACCTTGTTTGGGAGGCATCAAGACTGGAGGGTGAACCAATGCCTGCTTGATAGCATCTAAAGCCGTTTGTTGGTCGGGACCCCATTCAAAGGCAATTTTTCCAGCTTTCAACAATTTAGTAATGGGTCTGACCTTGCCAGCAGCATTAGAAATGAAACGCCTCAAATAATTCACCTTACCCAACAGACTTTGGATTTCTGTAACCGTCTTGGGTGGCCGACTATCAAGAATGGCTTTAGCCTTGTTGGCATCAATTTCAATTCCTCTCTCATGAACTAAGAATCCTAGAAAGCTCCCGGCTGATATTCCAAAAGCACATTTGGTTGGATTCATCTTCAACTTGTACTTCTTCATTCTTTCAAATGCCTCTTCAAGATCTCTCAAATGTTCGTCAAAACTGGCAGATTTAACTATAACATCATCAATATACACTTCCATAGATCTGCCAATTAAATCATGAAAGATTGAATTCATGGCTCTTTGGTAAGTTGCCCCTGCATTCTTTAACCCGAATGGCATGACTGTCCATTCATAAATACCCAAAGCCCCTGGGCATCTGAATGCTGTCTTAGGAATGTCTTCTTCTGCCAAGAATATTTGGTTATAACCTGCATAGCCATCCATCAGACTAAGGATTTTATGCCCTGCTGCTGCATCTATCAGCATGTCGGCCATAGGCATCACGTATTCGTCCTTAGGGGTAGCTAGATTCAAATCCCTGAAGTCGATGCATATCCTTATCTTACCATTTTTCTTGACCACTGGCACAATATTAGCCAGCCACTCCGCATAACGGCAAGGTTGAATGAAACCCACTTTGAGAAGTTTTTGGATTTCTTCCTTGATTTGAGGCATCAGATCTGGACTCATTCGCCTTGGAGGTTGTTTGTAAGGTTTACAACCTTCTTTGATGGGCAATCGATGCTCTATTAGACTTCTTGTCAAACCAGGCATCTCTGAATAATCCCACGCTAAACAATCAATGTTGTTTCTAATAACTTCAAGCATCATTGTTTGTTGCTCTTTAGACAAATAACCACTTAACCTGATCACTTTTGGAACCAATTCGGTTCCTAAATTAAACTCCAATAACGGGTCTTGTGATGAAGCTGTTGGTTCTGTTTTTTCTAATAAGTCGGGCCAACGAAATTGTTCATCTTCTTGGAGGTGAACATCCAGAATCTCTTTATTATTTTCTACTTTATGTAATAACTGTTTTAAATAGAACTTATTAATAAGAGAACTACATACTTCTAAAGTTGTATCTTCCATAACAAACAACTTATACAGAAATGGGTGTGGCTTTATCATGAGCCATACAATAAAGGTGTTCTTTTAATAGAACATCGAGTTCTGGCCAGTGACTTTATAACCCTTGTTTGAGTATTCCCTGGCCATATACAACTGAGACATCGGAGCCAAATGACTAGAATAAAACACTGACTCTTCCACTTGTTCTGTTACGTCGAATGGGTTGTCATTCGCTTCCATTTTAAAGACCTGATTTCCTTCCCAGAACATTAACTGTTGGTGCAAGGTTGATGGCACACATTGAGAGGCATGAATCCAATCTCGTCCCAGCAAAAGAGAGTATGTAGTATCTGCGTCCACAATAAAGAAAACAGTGGAAATTTTCTTTGGTCCGACCTCAATTGTGGCAACCATCATACCTTCAGGCTTGGTCGGCTGCCCTGTAAAACTTGTCATTTCGAATTCCACAGGGGACAGATCATGAATTCCTTTCCCTAGCTTCTTGAGAGTCTTCAATGGCATAACATTAAAGACTGCTCCATTATCCACGAAAACCTTTGTGATTGGTTTCCCACAAATGTGAGCATTAACATACAGGGGTTTCAAATGGGAGTTCGCACCCTCTGGAATAGGAGGAAACACAATTGAAGGTGCTTCCGACTGAGGCTCAGAATCTGTAATCTTTGCCCACTCTGTTTCCTCTAATTCGCCATCTGCCAAGAATGCCCATAAAGGTTCGTCCATAGTATCATCTACCAGACTCGCCCACGTCGGTTCATCACTCATCTGGTTAACCTCTGTCATTCGACAAGGGATTCGTGGTCCCAGACGAGATTTAACAGATCTTGAATTTTCCTCTGTAGGCACCACTTCTTCCTTCGTCTCATTTCGAGATTGAACCGTCAAGGATTCAATACGAAATTCTTCCAGAGATGGATTGATGTTGATCCGTTCACAATGTTGGCATCTAAAACCTTTAATTATTTCATCTGCCATTCCTTTACCTTTCCCCTGTCCCGACGAACTTCTTTTGGATGTAATCATAAATTAAAAATAAGTACTTGAAAATAGCTCTAACTAGTAGGCTATGCAGCAAGCTAGCAAATGGATGCAATAGCATAACAATGATCCAACTATATTGTGAATTTGTGATCAACTACCATAAACCCAACGTGAACACCAACTGACAAGGTAACATTAGCAAGTGCTAAGATGATGACTATAACAATTCAATAACAAGGGCAATATATGTATATATATATACACATATACTCCCTCAGTCCCAAACAAGGTGCTACATTTAAGTTGGGCAAGGGATTTTAGGTGAGAAGTATTAAGTAGGATAATTAAGTAATTAGGTGATGTGATGGAGAGAGAAGTGTATATTTTATTTTTTATTAGGGGTAATGTGATGGGATAAAGTGTGGGCATATAGATTAAGTATACTTAATTATTTCCTAATTTAGAAATGTTGCAGGGTGTTTGGGACATACCAAAAAAGAAATGTTGCACGGTATTTGGGACGGAGGGAGTACATATTATATATTTATATACACACACATGTGAGAGTAGTACTTGACAATAAAACTAAGAATGTCATAATGGTGGAAAACTGGTATGTGTAGCAAACTTCAGGCTTTACTTATCTCATTGATAAGAGAAAAAGCATTCACAATAACAATCTCAGAAAGTAGCAAAGAGTTTATGCATTTAACAGACAACCATACCAATCACATCATACACGGAGAGAAAATTGGTGGACTACCTCAAACCAATTGTTCAAAACCTTTGAAGCAGGGGACAACAGAAGATCCATAAAATCCCTGAAAAGTTCCACTTCTTGAAGTAACCACAATGCAATGTGAACACGTACTAATCTTTAAAACAGGAATCAGCTTCTACTTGTACAAAATTGAAAAGATGTGCAGGGGCTTCAAGTTAAAGCTTACAGAAGTTCTTTGTGCCCCATGGAAGCCGCTCTTTGCAGCAACTGAGCCCAAAACATGGACTTGTACATATTATCCTTCATTCGATGATTTAAAGATGAAGCTTTTTGCAACTTTTCAGGAGGAACTGAATCCAGAAGTGGTTCCATGAATTTACAGAAGTTCTCTAAAAGATTCTCATACCTAGATAGAAGCACAGAAGCCACAATAATATCATCGAAACCAATGCATCCCTAAAGAATCACACAAGAAACTACCGAATCTAAGGAAATTAACCAGTCATTCAGTTTTTACAGCATTGCAGTCATTTCTTCAATATTCTTGCGACATTCATGGAACTTATGGTTTCAGTTGGTAATTTCAAGATCAACTAATCTACTACAACAATGAGACAGAGATGATAAATGTACCTCGGGTAAGCCTCGGCATCACCTTTGGAAAACTTACAAATCTCAGATTTGGTCAACTCCTTATCAGGACCAAGCAGAAGATAACGTCCGTCGAGACATGGAGTGAAAGACGATGGATTCCTCTTCAACAACTTCAGTCCATGCTTCGCTAACTCCAGTTCCCTATTTTAATATCACAAACCACAGATTCAAAGTGAATAAATAGGATCCGCATTTAAGTGAACGAAACGAGATATATACTTCACAACTGCCGGACGAAGGAGGCTTTGGAGATAGCTGCAACGGGAGAACTTGAAACCAGGGATGATTTCCTCGGTGACGGCGGCGCCACCAATGACATGGCGGCGCTCAAGAACAGCTACTGATAAGCCGGAGCGTGCAAGGTACGCAGCGGCTGTGAGGCCGTTGTGGCCACCACCAATGACAACGGCGTCCCATTTCTTCTCCGACAAGGCGAGCGTCGACTTCGCAGCCGCAGCACAGGCGGTCCGACACCGGCTTTTCAGTGGCCACATAACACCCCTCGTCTCGTCCTCGTCCCCGCCCCCTTCAATTCATCGTTGCTCGCGGCAGACTTTTCGTTTTCAAAATAGAAACTCTGTACGGTGAAAATTGTGATATGTATAGATTTATTAAAAAAGTTTAATAATATTATACAAATATTTATTATTTCTTTCTTCAGACTTACCATGTCATATTTTTACGTTCGAGATTTAAACTTTGAATTAAAATTTAAATAATAAAATATTTAAATTCAAATAATTGTATATTTAATATTTTTAATATAAAATTAAATTTTATAGTATAATATAAAAAATATTTAATTTAATATTTTTTAAAAAAAAATTAAATAAATAATTAAAATCGTTTCAAATTCTTCAAACAAACATACTCTTCCTTACTTATATTTTTATATTTAAAAAAAAAATTAATATATTTTAATTTTATTTTAAATTTTTTAATTTATAATTTTTAAAATTAAATTAATTAATTATATTAGTTATTTTTATTATTATATTTTTAATTATTTATTAATTATATTTCTCTTAAATTAATATTATAATAAATTGTAACGAATTTGTATAATATAGTATAAATTAAAAGGATATTATTATTGATGTCCAATAAAGTAAATGTGTTGATGTATTTTTTCAACAAAAATAAAGTAAAATTCAAAGATATAGAAAATATCCTTAAACTTGATTAATTAGTGCCTGAGATTAGGAATCTCTAAACACTGTAACGTACAGAAACTACACTGGAAATTAAAAGACTGAAATTTAAAGTGGTGATCCCCAAATCTGACTTTGCTTTGTTGAAGTTGATTGAAGATGCCTTGCCAAATGATGATCCAAATCCTTAAATATTCCCTGGGAAACCGTACTGAAAACCGTCACCCGAACGGTTACAACGTCTCCTTCTCAACCGTCTTCCAACCTTTCTTATGCTGACACGTGTCCCCAGCAGACCAAAATTCCCTATATTTCACTCCTTGAGCCGACCACAGACCTTCCGCTCTTTTGGCCCGACTTCGTCCTTCGTCCGACCTACTTCTTCGCCCGACCCCACTTGGGCCGACCTCCATATCAACCGCCCCCTGTCTTTGATCAAAGGCCTCCGTGTTTGTCCGACTCCTCCTTCTATCCGACCTACAGTTTACCCGACCTGCGGATATCCCATCTCAACGACTTTCCGTCTCGAGGACCTCCCGACTTGAAAACCTTCCGACTCATTGTCTTCCCGTCTTGCGGACCTCCCGACCTGAAAACCTTCCGACTTGAGGTCTTTCCGTCTTGCGGACCTCCCGACCGGAAGACCTTCCGACTTGAGGTCTTTCCGTCTTGCGGATCTCCCGACCTGAAGACCGTCCGACTTGAGGTCTTTCATCTTGAGGACCTCCCGACCTGAAGACCTTCCGACTTGAGGTCTTTCCGTCTTGCGGACCTCTCGACCTGAAGACCTTCCGACTTGAGGTCTTTCCGTCTTGCGGACCTCCCGACCTGAAGACCGTCCGACTTGAGGTCTTTCAGTCTTGCGGATCTCCCGACCTGAAGACCGTCCGACTTGAGGTCTTTCATCTTGAGGGCCTCCCGACCTGAAGACCTTCCGACTTGAATTTTTCTTAGAAATAAATAAATAAATTTATTTTCCTTGATTTCCTCACGGTGTCCTTCAGCCAGCTCAATCAACCCTATAGCCAGGCCCATTCCTCGTTTTACCTTGGGCTTTTAACCTAATTCTAAATTTCGTACGTAACAAAATGATATCATTGTTTTGAAAACAATTTTACAAGCAAATACATTATTTATTTTTCATTTTATACTTTATCAATTATTCTTTTGAATCTCGTTATAAATCAGCTTTTTTTTTTTTTTAATCCGACAAAAATATGTAGATTTATCAAATCTTAAAAAATACTTCACAAATATAAATCAAAACAAACACGCCCTAATTCACATCCCTACACCTACCCTGTTCGGCTCTTACCTCTTTTAATTTGTAGGTGATTCCATCCTCTCCTTTTGGCTCATCTTCGAAGCTAACTGCAAAACCCCAAAAATGGCGATGGAGGACAGCAATGTAGCGCCCAAGAACAAGTCTTTTGAGGTTCGCTTCTCCTGCACGGCTCGTGTGTGGTGTGCTTTTAGTTTTCTCAGAAATATTCGATTTATTCTTCCTTTGGTGATTTTCTGCATGACTGAAGATAATATTAGGGTCATCCTCAGCGGCGCGTCGTGAGATTCTGGCTGAGATGGGCTATGAATTCTCCATCATGGTACATTTACCATTTATGATATGTGTATGGATTTAAAATACACCAACTAGCCAACTATAGTTACAAGTTTGGCTCCTCCAATGGATGTATGTGACTAATCTGAAGAGTTTCTGTTTGTATTGATTTATAATACGTTTCTGTAGTGATAGCAGACATTTTTTGAAGTGCTTTGGTATTTAGACTGCAGATATAGACGAAAAAGGTATTAGGAAGGAAAACCCCGAAGAACTCGTGTCTGCCCTAGCAGAGGCGAAGGTACTCCAAATCATCATATGAAATATAATCAATGATGTAATTCGAGTCTCCCAGAAATTTCGATAATAGAACTGTTTGTAGAAATTCAGTCCAGAAAGTCACATAGAATATGGTATTGGTTAGCCTAGGGAATTATTCCCTTGAGAAAAATCTTAGTAACATATTTATGTTGCAGTATTGAATTTTAGATATTGCTCCAGCTTTAGAGTTTGAGAGCTACTGCATATAGGAGTTGAAGCTGCAAGCATGGCTAATCTATTATTTGAAAGGGATGTTTTTTCTGTTTTTATTTGGTGGGTGATTAGAGCAATAAAATAAATCGTTTACTATTGTCTATATGATCAAAAACATCATGAAAAGATTACATTTATTTATTTGTCATGCCAATTTGATGAAATTTTGCTCCATAGGCCGATGCTCTCATGATAAAGCTCGAGGCGACAGGCAAACTGAAGGAAATGTCACGGCCTACATTGCTTATCACTGCAGATACAGTATGCATATATGTTACCTTTCCAGTTTTTGTTTGTTGACTTCTATTAGTTTTTTTTTTTTTTTTTTTTTTTTGGCTTAGATCAAGTGTCAATTTGTTGTCCATGGTTACTTACCTGGCTTTTACAAGGATACAATTTTGGTTTGTGGATTACACATGGAGTGGTAATATGATGATGAAATTGAAAAGGGTGAAACTGAAATAATAACATTTTCAAGTGCATTGTTGATGTTTTCCATGAAGGATACCAAAGGGTCATTACTTTCAATAATGTAGATCGTTTTAATCTTTTAAATTTCCATTTTGGATAACGTTGTGTTTATATGCATCTCTAGTTCAAGGTAGAAATGAAAGCTATGCTTTTATTACTATTACTACTTTTGGTTTTGTAAATATGACTAATTTGACAAACAATTAGAGTATTGTAAACTTTTCCCAGTTGACAGTGAATACACTGAATAAGGCACGACCAGGAATATCACAATAATTTCTCTTTTCTTGATTGAAAATAGATTACTTGAAGTAAGCCTTACCTGCGTGTAATTGATATCAAGGTGGTAGTATATCAAGGTACTATTCGAGAAAAACCATCAAATGAGAGAGAAGCACGCCAGTTCATTACAGGTTTGCTCTTTAAATTTCTTTATGCATCTTCCCTGAAATTTGCTAATAGTTCCTATTGTATTGTTGTACAGACTACTCGGGCAGCTCTGCCAGGGTCGTGGGATCAGTTCTTGTAACCAATCTGGTAACAGGTTGTAGAAAAGGGGGATGGGACAGTGCAGAGGTAGTCCATCAATGCAATTCATATAGATCTTATTAACTAAATAGTGTTTCAAAATCATCACAAGTGGATATACCACAAGTGATCTTTGAGGAATGAGGGTTTATAATGGAACGAGACCATCTATATATTGTAGGTTACTGTGAAGAGATTTCAATTTTATCCCTTAGTTGCTTTGACTTTCCATTTCAAGCTAGTACATCCGCAATTAGAAAAGTCTGTTGCATAGATTTGAGCTGAAGGGATAACATTATGATTGCACTGCAGGTTTATTTCCTAGACATACCTGAAGAAGTAGTGGATAGCCTGGTAACTTTACTTCACCAAATGGTACAGTTCTTATTTTCTTTTACAGCCTTCATAATTGTTGAAAGTTTCTTAGATTGAAGAAGGGATCACTTTTAATGTTGCTGGTGGTCTGATGCTTGAACATCCGCTTATTTTTCCATTGGTGGACACCGTGGTTAGTCTCTCTGTCTCCTCTCTCTCTCTGCTTTACTTTTCTGTGTTAGCATTAATTCTGTGAACCAGATAAATGGAAATAATGGAAATGAAGCTAAGCTTCTTTTGTCTTTTGGTGTATTCCATAGTATCCAAAATAGTTCATTATATGAAGCCAAATCACCCAATAAATTTCATAATTTTTTCTTGACCACAATCCACCATTGCAGAATTTGCAGTTCAACTACATTTTGCTCATTGATTACTTCAATTTTAACTGCCTTGCTTACACATTGCAGATAGGAACTGCTGATTGTGTGATGGGACTTTCTAAAACTCTTACAGAGAACCTCATTCGGGATGCCCTGTAGAAGCTGATGGCTTACTGCGTCCCAGGAGATCCCGTCATCCTCGTGTAAGTTCATCATGATTCTTTCCATGCTAAGCTTAACATTTCAGCATTTCTTTTTGCAGTATAAAGATGGTAATTAATTTTAAAATGCGTTGTTGGTTCTTGCATACCATTGTTGGCTATATATTAGTGGCCTTGTTATCGCACTTCGACCTTAGAGCAAACACAGTGACCAAAATACAGAATGCTACTATCACCTACGTGTATGTGTCCAAGCAATTTTTCCAATCCCATCGAGACTAGTTGGGAAGCCACACAGTGGCTCGCTTATTCACTCCAAGAAAATCTTTCTCGCAAATTCACCCTAGAAGCTCTTTCTCCGGCTGAAACTTGATTTCTGGTGACAGAGAAGTTCTTTTTAAATGAACACAGAGAAGATATCCTACAATGGACATTCAAATTCATGTGACGGAGAAGCTTTCCTCCAATTGATTTCCTGCGGCCGGTTGGTATGAAAGCTCTGAACAAATGAATCTGATGATTTTGCTCAAGAAACTGTTGATCAATAAAGAAGAAGACCCGATCAAAAAGAAGAAGACTGTGAGAGGAGATTGAGTGGAATGTGACCGAAAAGCCATCAAATTGCACATGCTCGATACTCTAGAGTTGGACAATGGAGTCTACTACAATGGCAGGATTTTTCGTATTTCTGGGTCGTATCTCAATAGCTTCACAAAATTCCAACCATTTAGCGTCAATGGAAGGACAAACCTACTACTTTGAAGAATCTTGTGGTCTCATCGACTTCTTGGATAACAATTTGCATAGTTAGGTAGGACTGCATATTTCCTGTGAGTAATATTTTACAATGGAGCACACTTTGCAAGCAAGCAAGAATGTGTAAATCGATGTCCGAACTACACCAAATTGATTGAAGCAACATCTATATCGAAAGGATCCGCGGAAAGATCAACGTGCGAAATTCATATATACTTTAGATTTTTTTGCATCCCACCGGAATAAAGTGCAAGCGACCACCAGAGTCTCTCAAAATCGTATTCCTTCTCCCGTTGAGATTCGACATTGTTCGACTCTAATGGATCAAGAAAGTTCCCAAAGTATAAAAGGTGTTGGAAGTCCAAGAATAGAGAATTCTATTGAAGGATATAGATATGATTGCAAGACATACAAATAGCATCTCATAAATGATAATTTAAATGTGTTATAATAATGTAATATGAACTGGTCATAATTTAAATGTGTTATAATAATGTAATATGAACTGGTCACTGTAAAATTATGGATTTAAACTGACGAATAAAAATTGAGTTAAATGTTTTCCATCATTTAATGGTGTTACAGTGATATGATGTAAACATGTGACCGTAAATTTATGATTTCAAATTTCCGACGAATATGAATATAGTTCAAATGCATTGCAAGAGTTAATGTTTTTCATCAACCTCTACTCTACTTCCTCGTCCTCGAAGCAAGAGGTTTGATCCAATCCCCAGTACTCCGCTGTCTTGGCATCGTCCTCAACCATCAACCTTGAGAATTCTTCGTGATCATAATTTAGCGTCGCCATGCCGCCAAACTCCCTCGGAAGGTTCTTAGTGTCAAAGAAGCCCTTCATAGTCTCTAAGCTCTCTTTATTATTCGCGTAGACAAATTTAATTTTCTCAAAAGTTTTCTGATCGACAAAATACTTGACAACCTTCCAAAAGGCCTGGAAAATTCTCGGAGGGCTGTAGAGCACGACCACGGCGAGCCTCTCCGGATAGTGATTCTGCAAAATGTAGATGATCTCCCGGGCTGTTTTGATCGGAATTTTGGTTGCCAATGCAGACCATCCCGTGAAGTCTATGAGCCACGACATTTGCTCTTGCCCTTCCGGAAGGTTCAATATTGCATTCTCCATTAGGTAGACGAGATGGCGTATATTACCCTCTGGTGACGCCGTGTTCTGCATCACCAGAGATACGTTCATATTAAATGACCATTTTACCCCTTTTTACAATTTTTTGAAACAAGAAATTCTGTTTTGTACTATTTATTAAATTATCATCTCATCTAAAAATTTAAACTAAGAAAGTGCTTGTAAATTAGTAACTTACATATTATATAGTTTTCCTACAGTTCAACAAAGAAAATGAAGATTTGAAAGTTATAAACATAACCTGTTTTCCGGGCCTCATTATAAGAACTGTTCTCCCCTTCCTGTCGTGAAAATTCGCCTTGGAAACTTTTCCGGTCTCTCCTTCGTGCGCGACTTCGTGCTGATCTTACACGAGCAATTAATTATCAATAGCTTACTATGAAAAGAAACTAATACGGTGCACATATGTAGCGCTCAATCGACTCACCCAACGAATTTCCTCGGGTTTGTACATCGCCCTCCACTTAATAGTCTCTTCCAGCATTTTCTGTGCTTTTTCGACATTCCAACTTCGAGCTTCTAAATACCTTTTCAAACATGCGTTGTCACAGAACTTTAAGCTTCTTCCAGAAAGCGCCCCGATTTCCTCCCTTAATTGCACAATCTGCTTACATACATTCAGCTAATTTTAAACTTTATATTGAAATATTTTAAATATTCAGTTTTAAATTTAATTTTATATTTATATTTGGTAATTTTATATTTATATTTGGTCTTATACGAATATCTTTAATGCCAGACCCCTTATTGCTAATCAAATCATGCAATTTTTGAGTTTTCATAAAATATTTTCACACACTTTATATTTATAAATGCCTATGATCCTACACGATGTTACCTTATAATCTTGCCCTGTTGCATCGATCTCCGGCTTGTTCTGCGCCCTTTTGCCGACCATGTTGACTTTGTCTTACTGTTCAATCTATCATTTCTCATACAAAACATTATATTCAATAACTCAAAACACGAAAAGTAAACACACTTGCTCCTCAAACCTCTTCGAGAACAATTCAAGACAATAATTAATAGGAATAACTATGAGAAGTCTAAACTAAAACAGCATTTAAGAAACTTTGAATTGTAGCAAATTATGTGATAAAGACTGCAGAAATGATGATGTGAAAGAAATTACAAAGTGTTCGAACCTTTTCTATATCAGGAGGAAGATCGAATATGATGAAGGATGGAGAAGAAGATAAGCAATTAGAGAGCAGAAACGATTGAAGGAAGGATGATCTGATGGATCTGGAAAGAGGTTGCCTTGTGGATTATTGGCATCTGAAATGAGAGCTGCATCATCATCTTAACGGTTTGTTTCAAGGAGAAATGGCAAACTGCCTAACCACTAAACGTGTGTTTAGATATGATTTTGGAATTTCAGGTTTGATTTGATACTCTAAAAATTTGAATGAAATATAAATACACCCTCTGTCCCTTTTGAAATAGGCTTTTGATTTTATTTTTTTTTTATGTACTATGTTTATAATTTAAATAAAAATTAAAATAATAGTATTGAAATACAACAAATAAGAATAATAAAAAAAATATTTTAAATAAATTATATGTATTATAAATTAGAAGGATCAATATAAATTTGATTTTGATATTTTTATTTTATATATTTTATATTTAAATTAATTATATGTATTATAAGTTGGAATGCAAATCGAAATTTCGAATCGAGCGGACAATATTATACTAATTTCTAACCGCAATATTGAATTATTAATCCTATCAACAAATATTGATGAAATGTAATTTGCAAAAATATAAGAAAGCACAAGTAAAAAGAGCATAGGGTTATTTGGTCAGACGAGGTGGGCTGCCTTTACATTTCTTTTGTTTCCATTGACGTGTGAAGTCGTCGATGTTGACTTCGTTTTTGTCATCGTTCGTTCATACGCATTGACTTTTGTGGGACAAATTATAATCATTTATTATTCCAAGTGCTCGCCACTTCTCACCATGTTTTATGTTAGTAATTAACTATTTAATAATGAATTATATTTTTATGTGTTAATTACTCGAAAAGTTGCATTTATTTTTTAAATAATATTTAAAACTTAATAAAAATAAAAATTCGGAATTTATCCCAAAGGAAATTCAAACGAATGAGTGGTTCCACGTTTTAAAAATAAGAATTTGAATATGGAATTGAAATTTTACATAAAAGTTGTTAATTTCAAAAGTCACAAAAATACAACTATGCCCTCTCCACCTGGTTTTGTTGTCGACCTCTCTCCTTCTCCTTCACTTCACTTCCTTGGTTCTTCTCACTTTCTAATTAAACCATCAACAAATATAATAATTAAATTAATATAATTAAAAAAATAATTAATTTGTTTAATTTGTTAACGTACGTACCGTTGGTATTATCTTTGAGAAATGATTGGTTCCCACCATAACCATAGATGCCTCCATAGCCTTCCTCCTCAGCCCTTGTCGAGTATCCTTCTCCAAACGAATCCATCTCATTTCTATTTTTATTTTTATTTTTTTAAATTTAATTAAAAATACTATATAAATTAATTGCGATTATATATGAAGAAAATAAGAATTAATTAAAAGAATGCAGAATTAATGAGTGAGCTAGCTAGTACGTGGTTGTTTCGGCCTGGGGTGGCTTCTGCTCGGGCTTGGGCTTGGGCTTGGCGTCCATCTTCCGGGTCGGGTCGGGTGATCTCGCCGGAACCGAACAGGGTCGCAGTATGTACGTATGTATGTATTTCAATACTCGAAATATATAGAGAGAGATGTAAGAAGAAGAAAAAGTTAAGAGGGTGGATTGATTAATTACATACATTTGGTTTCTGTATATATAGTTCCGGTGACAGAGAATTGGGTGGATCGCCTTAAGGCATGAGGATTTGACACGTGTCCCAACTGGCCCGACACGTGTTGCTGTGACGTGGAGTTATAGATCGGGTTCGGGTAGGATAAAATTGAGAAGGTAGGGAGGAAGGAGGGTTTTGTTTGTTGTAGTTTAATATAGAAATAATAATTTTTCATAAAAAGATAAAATATATATTAAGAATCACTAAAAAATATTATGTGAAGATACTAAATTAAGTAGTTACCTTTTTATATTATTAAAATGAATTATATATTGAAATTAGCATATAAAAAATTTCATTGACAATAGTAAATTGTCAATTCAAAAAGATTTAGATTGATGGAGTTGGATGGATATAGACTGATTGAATATATAATTTTGTTAGCATTCTGTCTAATTTCTAAGTTGATCCAACAATATGACTAGTCCAAATATTCAAATGTTTTATGAAATTAGAAATTGAATGATTAATCAATTATGTTAATTAAATAATCATTAAACAAGACTTATTATCATGCATTCAACCATAAGGGAAAAAAAAACAAAAATTCACTCCAGTTTTTTTCTTTTTTATTTCTCTTTAAAATTATCATTTTATACTATTATTTCACTAACCATTTTAATATAAATAATTAATTTAATCAATTAACTATGTTCTAACTAATTGTCAAATCAGCGTTATTTGGAGAATTGTCCGCACTCATCCGGACATTTTATTATGGTATTTTAGTGATAAAGTCGACAATACAGGGGCAAAAATGTCTTAACAGTTAAATCGTGGGTCATCAATGACCAGTCCCTTCCCCAAATTCCTCAAGACATTTTTAGCACTTCAATCTTCGCCTTCTTCTCCGCTGTTGCCTTTCGTAATTCACAGAGACTGACCTCACTCGCCATTCTAAAGCTCTCAAAATCGGCGTTCAATCGGAATACGGCGGAGATGTGGCGATGCGCCTCCCGTGCCTTCAGCATTCAATCAAAGAATGCCGCCTCCCCCGGCTCCATCCGGCGTCTATTCTCCGTTCAATCTGTAAGATTCCGTTTCGGTCCTTTTTGTTTTCGGCGATTTCTTCTTTTCCAAATTAGGGAAATATCAGCTCCCTTTGTTTAGTCTGGAGTGTCCCGGGCTCGAAACCGCTTAGTTTGATTTGTACGGTAATGCAATTGATTTACCTGGTTATGATGGAAGGCGGGGATTGTCGATTGGCAGGTGCTGTTATTGCTCTATTAGGTTTTTAGACAATGAAAAATGTTGTTTTAGTGATGGATTGAACTTTTAGTTAATGTTTCCTTTGTTGTCCTGTTGGATTTCATTGCATAACTATTAATCGTGGGATTCGAATAGAATCGTGGATCGCCACAATATACCGTGGTGGATCATACCTATGATGCGGTGGTGGTCGGCGCAGGAGGTGCAGGCCTCCGTGCGGCGATAGGGTTGTCAGAGCATGGATTCAACACAGCTTGCATTACCAAGCTATTCCCCACTCGCTCACACACAGTCGCTGCACAGGTAATCTTGAACATATTATCTTCGCTATATAGTCTCCTAATGGCATGTGTACATAGTCCATACATTACTCTACTATATCCTGATACTGATGTTTATCAAAGTAACTTTACATATTGTTAAGTTACATTTCAATGTGGTTACGTTTGATCTGCAATCTCAGTTTAATTATGCATTTCCTTACTGATTTGATCTACGATCAAACCTTAGCTACATTCATGGCACAATTTCTTATGAATATTATGCTTATTGAATGGTTGAAGAATTTTGCAACCCATGTCCGTTATTATCTTCCCAAAATCACTTTTGGTTTATTAGTTGAAAGTATCCTTCCAGACTGATTATTCTTCTTATATTAATAGTCGGAGATAAATATTTATTTCCATTGTTAACATTCTTGTTTGGATGCTGAGTATCATTCCCGATTTGCAACCGCTCAGTGGACTTTTAGTGATGCTTGAAGTCATTTAAAATTAGAATGATTCAATATATTTTTTTCCTGTCTAATTTTTATGGTTTCAAAATTTAATATTCCGATATATGGTATTTCTTCTTAACATGGAGTTTTAGACTTACCTTATCACGTATATATGGGAAAATCCTTCCAAGCTCAAGTTCTATTTTTTTTTTTATGGTAACTTTCAACTATTCCACATCCTATCACATCTTGTCTTCTCTTGTGTTTTTCCTTTTCTAATTGTAGGCTATTTTTGATAGTCCTCTCACTGTTTTTCTATTCTACTTTTGGGTAATCTTTCTTGAATAAACATCCTGGTTTTAACAGCCTCTTCTGTTAGCTGTTTTTCTTACTATTCCATGCACATTCTGGCTTCTGCCCTTTTATAGCCCAGCTTTAGATCTCCAGTAAACTCCACCATATATATATATATATATATATATATAATATGTAGTATGCATTCTTTCCATATCTTCAGCTGTGGGTTCTTTGTAGGGTGGTATTAATGCTGCATTAGGGAATATGACCGAGGATGACTGGAGATGGCACATGTATGACACAGTTAAAGGGAGTGATTGGCTCGGTAAGTTGGTTGTCCCTGTTAATGTTTTCATCAGTTTCTGAACTCTAGAGCCAAACCTGAATCCTAAATTATTTTCTTGTGAAACTCGTGTTTCTGATTTTCTTAATGAATAGTTTATATATTGCTTGTAAAATTCTTCTTCTTCAGAAAAGGAAATAATAATAATAATAATAATAATAATAATCATAGCAGTAAAAATGAAAAAAGTGTGATCTTTGAATGAAAAGTACCATTGTTTTATGACTGCCTCACTTCAATCTCTGTTCTGATTAAACCCTTTTTTAAACTCCACTGTGGTTGGAAGTAATTTAAATGATATAAATGATTAAAGGAGAACCAGTAGTCTAATGGAGGACAAATTTCAATAAATTTCATTCGTTGAATTTTTTATCTTGTATGTTGAATTTGTGAGTTGTGATAGCATGTGCCCTTGTGCATTAGTATTTAAAGCAACTTACATCTCTGTTTCCTTTCATGATAATTATGCTACTTTAGACACTTTCCTAGTAGTTATTTGGAATCAAATATGAGCAGTTGTTTAACTCTCTTGTTTGGTTTTGAGGTTTTATGTATCGATTCAGTCACCAGGATCAAATCTTGATCAATAGCTGATGCCTGTCTACTTGATTCTTTTCTTTGCATTTGAAAATTGTGGCTCTCAGGTGACCAAGATGCTATTCAGTACATGTGTCGAGAAGCCCCCAAAGCTGTTATTGAGCTAGAAAATTATGGGCTACCTTTTTCTCGGACTGAAGAGGGGAAGATTTATCAACGTGCATTTGGTGGTCAAAGTCTTGACTTTGGAAAAGGTATAACCAAATTGAGCAGAAATAAATTAAGCAAGGTGTTTATAGCCAACTTGTTTGATATAGCTGTCTCTGGCTTATCTAGGTGGACAAGCATATCGTTGTGCCTGTGCTGCTGATCGAACTGGACATGCTTTGTTGCACACACTATATGGACAAGCAATGAAGCATAACACACAATTTTTTGTGGAATATTTTGCGCTTGATTTACTCATGAGCAAAGATGGTATGCTTAAGCATGAATTTGATATAATTGATGTATCATTGAGCATGAATTTGGTATAATTTGTTAAATTGCATGTTTGTTCATTGATCTTAGGTAGCTGCCAAGGTGTAATTGCCTTAAATATGGAGGATGGCACACTGCACCGGTTCCGTGCTGCCTCAACAATTCTGGCTACTGGAGTAATTATTTAATATTGAAACAGTTTCAAGCATTAATTTGTTTTGGTGGGAGAGTTTGAAATTTATATCCTGATCCTATAGGGTTATGGAAGGGCATACTTTTCTGCTACCTCTGCTCATACCTGCACTGGAGATGGCAATGCTATGGCTGCTCGTGCTGGGCTGCCACTTGAGGTTTGTATTATGCAAGGCATCACTGCCACAATCATGCAGTGATGGGTCTTAGAATCATTGAGGATGTTAATAATGTAATGAATTTGTTCTTGCAGGATCTCGAATTTGTTCAATTTCATCCAACAGGCATATATGGTGCTGGGTGTCTCATCACTGAAGGTTGGATCCTTTTTTGATTTTGGCTCTACTTATAATTCTAACTCCTCATTGCTATAAGATTTTTTTGTTTTGCCTTCTCATTTTTAACCTTATTTTAATTTTTTGCTGATTTGAATGTGATTAGGGTCTCGAGGTGAAGGCGGTATTCTTCGGAATAGTGAAGGTGAAAGATTCATGGAACGGTATGCCCCAACAGCCAAGGATCTTGCATCTAGAGATGTGGTATCAAGATCTATGACAATGGAGATTCGAGAGGGGCGTGGTGTTGGTAAGCAATTTGTTGATGTAAAGTTTGATTACATTCTTTTACATGTTGCTTTTTTCATTTGGCCTTTTACTTGCATCTACTGAGATATAATGTCATTTATATTCCTCTGTTTTCACCTTTTATTCCTGTGGTGAGAGCTCAACACGGCAATGGGTTTAGAAAATATCTTTCACAGAACAATATACTTCACTACCAAAGCCTATTATCATGTCACAATGTGGGTAAAGTTTATCCACCCGCCGTATAGCTGAACACAAATGACTGTAAATAATCAAGAATTCTACTTGTTTTTAGGGGTTTTGGTTTTGGATTAGAGAATTACAAATACACATTTACTCAAGAGAGATGCTTTATGGCAGAAAATTTGTTATTTTTATGATGCTTTGACAGTGATATTGTCATACAATAGGTCCCTTAAAAGATCATATCTACCTTCACTTGAATCACTTGCCTCCGGAGGTTCTTAAGGAGAGACTTCCTGGAATTTCTGAGACAGCAGCCATTTTTGCTGGCGTAGATGTTACAAAGGAACCAATTCCTGTCTTACCCACTGTTCATTATAACATGGGTGGAATTCCTACAAATCACTATGGAGAGGTAAACTTGATTATATATACGTTCACCAAATACTCTTGAAATTTTTGGATTACATTTCACTAAAATATCAATTCCTTTGAAGGTGGTTACCATCAGAGGCGATAATCCCGATCATGTGATTCCTGGATTATTTGCTGCTGGAGAAGCTGCTTGTGCATCTGTCCATGGGGCCAATCGGCTTGGAGCCAATTCTCTTCTTGATATTGTTGTCTTTGGTCGGGCTTGCGCAAATCGGGTTGCAGAGATCAGCAAACCAGGTTCCAAACTTATGAACATCTGCATCAAAGGATGATTTACTGTTAATATGTTCTATTCTGAGATAAATCAAATCTTCACTGTTGCAGGAGAGAAGCAAAAGCCACTAGAAAATGATTCTGGAGAAAAGACCATTGCATGGTTGGACAAAATTAGGAACTCTAATGGTTCCCTTCCCACCTCAAGTATTCGACTGAAGATGCAAAGAGTAATGCAAAACAATGCTGCAGTGTTCCGCACACAAGAAACACTCGAGGAAGGTAGCAACCTGATCTATATCATCCATTTGTTAATGTCATGCGTATCTTACCGCCTGCAGCCAAAACACACAAATTGTTATGATTACTTGGTATCTTCCGCTTTTAAGGTTGCCAGTTGATCGATCAAGTGTGGGAGAGTTTCCATGATGTGAAGTTGACAGATAGAAGCTTAATATGGTATCTTCTTCTTTTTTTTACACCGACACACACACATATATATATATATATTTGTTGCAGAACTGATTTATTTTTATTTTTGGCTTTCTATGCAGGAACTCAGATCTGATAGAAACGATTGAGTTAGAAAACCTTTTGATTAATGCCTGCATTACCATGCACTCTGCAGAGGCAAGGAAAGAAAGCAGAGGAGCTCATGCACGTGAGGATTTCAATGTAAGTTCTATTTTTTTTGCTTCACTTCACCTCTGCGAAAAAACTGATCTTAACTAAATGTGATCATCTACTTTTGCAGAAAAGAGATGATCAGAATTGGATGAAGCATACACTGGGGTCAGATTCTATTTCTCTAAAATATATTAAGAGATATTATTGACTGCAAACTTTATTCACTTATAACCTGTAACTATTACTCATCTTTTAAGTCTGCTACAGCTACTCGTTGCTAAATATGCTGTGTGGTATTTTATATTGCTGACATTTCCATTTTCCAGAGTACTTGTGTTTATATAACCTCATTCCATGGCCTGCAGTTACTGGGAAAACGAGAAAGTCCGGCTAGACTATCGACCAGTCCACATGAACACGCTTGATGATGAAGTTGAATCCTTCCCTCCAAAGGCTCGTGTTTATTGAAGCCCTTATGGCCAACAACAGGTTCTTGAGATTTTGATCTTTGCTGAAATGTTGTGTTATGATGCAGTAATAAATTTACGGAAACAAAATTTCTTTTAATTGATAATAAATGTAGCGCCAATATTACTGTGTGATACGACGGTCGTGCTCAAATCAACACAAAACTGTCCATCAGTTTCGAAATCCAATATTAACTGTATTGGTGCTAGTTGTGTTTTAAGAGCACGATTTGTACGGTACAATTCATTGTGTTCAAAGTTTTATCTTATGCATTGGATCAATCAGGTTTTTGATATGATGATGATATGTACTGCTAAGCTCATACTCTTATCTATGTCGATAAATGCTATGTACGTTCGCTATGCTCGACTAAAATAAATCATCTAGAGTCTCGAGGCTGTCTAAACCAGAGAAATCACACCAAAAGTAGTCCTCTGCCATTGTCGTCATGTCCGGAGGTACAGGTGCAGCACTTGGCATCGCCACTGGGTACATTTCTTGAGGTGCAGATGGTGCTGTGATCGTCTCCAGGAGGCGACAAATGACATTCTGCTGCATCTCTTCCATAGCTTCCAGGTACTGTTCCAACTCGTGCAATCCCATCCCATCCCATCAATAGACTTTTCCCACAAGAATTTTTCACTAGTTGTTGGGATCATCTCTTGTGAGGAAGAGGAAGAGGAAGAGGAAGTAGGGGTCCCGGAGTCGAACCTTAATTTTACCGATGGATGGATTTCATATTTTTCCGAAAGGCCGGCGACTGAAGGATAATTGCCATTTCAGCACCGGTGATGACACAGAGTTCAGTGGCTTTCTTGAACAACCCACCCACCCCTTTCCGGCTGTGACCTGTAAGTTGGATTTGTTCTGGATCTTTTCTATGAGGATCTTGCAATGTTTTCTTCTTATCATCCATCTCTATGCAACTCACATTATTGAAGAAACAGATCAGCATTCAAACTTAGACCAACAATCTATATGCCTAAATCAAGATTGACTGATCAAAATCAGGATGGATTTCCACGACTGAGGAACCAACAACCTACCTTCCAACCTTGCAATATACTTATAATAATCATCAACTAGCCCTTTTTTTATTATAATTATTATTTTGAACTAGCCCTTATTAAGCAATAACTTTTTTCTTTTTTTTGTTTTTCATTAACGCACATGTTTTTTAGTTTCTCACTCTCTGTTTATTTTTTACTTCTTTAATTATAATTCTTCTTTTAATTTTAAACATTATATTAAATTGTTATTTTACTGAAAATTATTGCTTTTCTTTGGTTTTCTCTTCATATTTTTATTATTTATCTACCTTAACTTAATTTTTTTTCTTAGAAAAGTTATACTATTATATATTTATTTTTTGTTTAATGTAACACATAAAAAAAAAACTCATTCAAAGCACCACAGTTAAATAAGATAACAGAAACATTTATTTGTTTAATGTTTTAGTTTTATATGTTTATATATATATATATATATATGATGATGAAAAATTGTATTAATAATATAAAAAATAATATTTTGTATTAAATTATTGATTTTTTTGTAAAAATGTTTAATATAAAGATTATATATACTAAAAATCATATTAAAAAAATTGATTGATTAAACAAACTCAATGTATATAATACAAAACTTTTATCATTCTAAAACATACCAAAATAACAAAACACAAAAAATAAATAAATAAATAAAAATAAAACCCTAATATAAACATGCTTATTAATTTTCTAATTGATATATATAACTCAGAGGTGTTAGATGTTAGATGTGATGTTAGAATAGATTACATCTCACATAAACATTAGAATAAATATTAGAACAAGTGTTTATTTGGTTGCACTTTAAAATGAAATTAGTTAATATGTTACAAATATCCTTCCAATTTACAATATATTACACAAATGTCATTATATTTATATCATATAATACTAATATGGTTAATTTAGTTTTTTTATTTTTATTTCTAATTTGTTTAAATATAATACTAATATTTCTAAAACTCCGGCAAAAAAGCAAATTGATATATAAATATGAGAGAGTATTATTCAATGTGCATAATTTTTAATAAAAACATTGATATGAATAGACTTTTGGGTGATGATTACCATCTGTACAAACTGAAGATAGTTTAAGGAGAAAGTAAACTATAATTAAAAACACTATTAAGAAAGATCCCATTAAATTAATTAATTAAATTAAATTAATTATCCTTGTTTGACTTAATGATGCCTTATTAATCTCAAATACTACTGTTCCCTAACACTCTTCACTTTTATTTACAACTTCATAAAGGTGTCATTATTATTATTATTATTTTATTATTATTATTAGACTAACGATGTTTGTTTAGATAAGGAGTTTTTGGAAGTTTGAAAAAAATAAAAAGTTAGTATTTAATTTGATATCTAGTAAAAAAAAATATGTATTTGATGTGATATTTTTTTTAAAAAAAATAAATAGTGTTAAATAAGTGAAAGTGTGTTGTGTAAAGATAACGTAACTCTTTTTTCTATCTAATACAGATTAAATTAAATTATTATGGCCTAGATATATTTGTGCTACCATATTTTACATTTTTCATGATGGGGGTTTGTTTGGGATAGGGATTGATAATAATAATAATAATAATACTTTTATGTAAAAATAAGATAGCTGAAAATATAATAGAAATATTATAAAATTTTATTATAAATTTGATAAATAAAAATAATGAAACAATTAATAAAAATAGTAATAAAATTATTAGTATTTAATATAGTCTAATAAAATATTTTATTCTAAATTGACTATGTATATATTTAGTAGCGAATCAAAAGAGAAACTGAGAGATTATTTGGCTACTATTAATATCTAATATTTATTTATTTTTTTTGATATAAATTATAAATTTATTGTTATATATACATAATTATATTATATATATTTTTTTTATAAATGATACTTTCTTCATTTCATATTGGATTTATGAATTACAGTAGATAATTAAAAATAAATGTATTAATAAAGATAAATTTAGAATAAAATTAAAATATATAATTATTTTCAAACAAAATGAAAGTGACACGAAGGAGTAATATATTAGTACATTGTTACGAATGAGGTAAAATTATTTATTGAAAACACATTATGTATACAGACAAAAAAACAAATGTATTTTAAAGAAGGCATGACTGAGAAAACAAACACATCCAAAAATTACAGACACGCCGCTCTCTCTCTCACACACGCACTCCCTCTCTCTAGAATTTTCAGTCGTCGACGAACCATTTTCTCGCCGGAAAATCGGTGCCCCCTCCCCTGACCACCCTTGACATTAACAATAACCAGGCATCGCCGTTTCCTTCATCCCTACAAAATTCTCATTTCTATCATCTTCTCCGTCTGCCTTCGCCGGAGCTCCTTAGTCAAATTGCGGCGGCGACGTCGTTTTCTTACTGTCAGCTGTTTTAACAGATTAGGTACACTGGTAAGAAACTGGTGGTTGCCTATTAAATAATCAACATAGACCTGAATAGAGCCGTCGTCAATAAAAGGCCTTTACAGTTTCCCTTTTATACCGAAACTCAAAAACCAAAACCCCCTTCTCCGGCGATGATTGATCCCGCAGTCGCCGGCGACACTCAACCCGCCGCCGTCAAGAAAAAGCGAAGCCTCCCAGGAACACCAGGTAAACAAACTCAAATCAAATCAAATTTTATTTATTATTTTTATCAAAGACTCGATCTTGATTCTTTTTCTTTTCGTCAATTTTGGATCATCAGATCCCGACGCCGAAGTGATCGCGCTATCGCCGACGACGTTGCTGGCGACGAACAGATTCGTGTGCGAAATCTGCAACAAGGGTTTCCAGCGCGACCAGAATCTGCAGCTTCATCGGAGGGGTCACAATCTGCCATGGAAGCTCCGGCAAAGGTCGAGCAAGGAGGTGAAGAAAAGAGTTTACGTCTGCCCGGCGGCGAGCTGCGTCCACCACCACCCGTCGCGGGCGCTCGGCGATCTGACAGGGATCAAGAAGCACTTCTGCCGGAAACATGGCGAGAAGAAATGGAAATGCGACAAGTGCTCCAAGAAATACGCCGTTCAATCCGATTGGAAGGCTCATACCAAGATTTGCGGCAGCAGAGAGTACAAATGCGACTGCGGCACCGTCTTCTCCAGGTCGCCATTGTTGTCGATCATACGTCGCTATTGATTTTCGATTTCGATTTCAATCGCCATGGATTTAATTTTACTGTGAATTTATTTGGGCAGGAAGGATAGTTTTATTACGCATAGGGCTTTCTGCGATGCATTGGCTGAAGAGAGTGCCAAAGCGCAGCCGACGCCGGCGGTTGGTTCTTCAACCACTTCGCCGCCGCCGCCGCCGTCGTCTGCTTTCAGCGCCGGTAATTCTTGGAGTTTAGTTGTTTCTTTGTCTGTTATTGATACTTTTTTTTTGTTTTTATCTGTCTTGTGAATTTAAAACTTGTGGATCATCTGGGATTTGAATTTGCAAGAACATATCTATATCTATATCCATCTACTTATATATATATATATATATACACGCATGTTTAACCACTTGAAATTAGGCTGTCACTTTGCTAAATTTCACAGCTAGTTGGGCGTATTGTACTTAGCCCGTATTCTTTTAATTTATTTGAATAAATTTAAATATATGAAATTTGTAATTTGTCTATTTCTGCAGTCGAGCCAACAAAGTGAACTTATGTCTTGTTTACATTTTTGTTTATTATTCATTCATTAATGCTAATATGTCACAACAATATATGTGAAAGAAGACATGTTTCCTAATTTTTTAACATATTGTAATGATATGCGCAATGTATGTTTGTTCTTGAATCGGAACGTATTGTATATAAGATTTTTAAATGCTTTTAATTACTATACTGAATATATTGATTCAGCATACTAACAACAACCATCTATACTCAGAGCTACAAGATGGCGCAAGCCCAAGCCCAAGCGCAAACCGTTCGACATCTCCGACTACAGATGAAGCGGCCGCAGCCACAAACTTCACAGCGAGCTGCAGCAGCGGCATCGGTTCGAGCAGCAACGGGAGCTCGAGCAGCAATGCTTTCGCAAGCATATTCGCCTCATCGATGTCGACATCTTCTCAGACTCTGTTATCTCAACCAACCAGATTCGCCGACTTCTTCCAAGCCATTGCGCGGGTCGACTACCCAATCGATGCGCCGCAATCGTCCTCGTCAGAAACCATCTCTCTCTGCCTCTCGACAAACCAAACCTTGTCGATAGCCGGAGCAGCCGGGCAGTTTGCGCCGGCACCAAAGCCCGCTATGTCGGCAACGGCATTGCTACAAAAGGCCGCTCAGATTGGCGTCAGGACGTCGAATGCATCCCTTCTAAGGGGTCTCGGGATAGTCTCATCGGCCTCGGCGACAAACCCGGCTGAGGAATGGGGCAGCCGGGTAATTGAGCTCGGCGGCGGTGCGACGATAGCTGCCGGGCTTGGTTTGGGGATCGCCGGAGATCACGATGGCTCGGGTTTGAAGGAATTGATGCTCGGAACGCCAGCCGGATTAGGCACTAGGCAGACGACCCTCGATTTACTCGGTTTGGGAATGGCTGCCGGCGGCAATGGCTCGGCCGGAGGGCTATCGGCGTTGATGACGTCGATCACCGGCCGCGCCGGTGTACGGAAGTAGCTGCTGCTGCCGTTATGGTAACAAAGAAGTTGGAAATGGAAGAAAATTGAGTCCATTAGTTAATTAATTGTATTGCCACAATTATAGTGGTTGAGTTTGATCAAGAATTGATGTTAAAATTTGTTATCATGGGAAGGCGAAAGGTCAATTCAGCAACTTTTTGACATATTCCGATTAGAGAAATGAAGCATGCGTTTCTGTGTGCGTCCCATTTCAGTAAAATTAATCAAAACTCGGGGAGATAGATAGATGCATATTTATTGTATTTATATATATATATATATATGATTATTATTGTGGTATTGTATAGAGTGATGAGACGTAAGCTGTGTCGCAGACAAGCGTGATTAGAATTGTCAGCCGGTGGCGGTGCCCCCGACTGTTTCTCAGTGAAACCAGATTGGATTTTTTGTCCCATTTTATATCTCCGTATATTACGTGTGGGGATAGTGAAATAAAATTTATTTTTGGGATAAAGGATTCCATGAACAGTGTAAGTATGATCCAACTAGAATTTGAGAGTGTCTTTGTTCCCGTGTTCTATTTACTATAGATACAATAAATTATAAGAGGTATAGTTAATAATTAAATATTGTATAATAAAAATAAATTTAAATTAAAATAATTAATTAATTTAATTAAAATTAAAATAAAATTAAAATAAAATGGAGGCCGGCCATGATTAAATAAAGGACGTCATTTCCGGCAAGTAAGCCTCCGAAACTCTTTTTATTTAATTATTTAACAATGTTCACTGACTTTCCACACTTAACATCGTTTTCAAAGGAAACTCTTGACATATATTAATTAGTTAATTTCCAAACGGCACAGATCATGTGTTGAAGCTATTTTTAGCACTTAGTTACAGTATTAATTATGTTTAAAATATAATATTTTTTCAAACACTTGATCGATAGGCATTTCTAGGATGTCAACGGGGCTGGTTCGGAACGGATTTTGCAGACCTCGAAACCCGTCCCGCTAAAAATATTAGGACTCAAGACCCGCCTCGCCTCGCTTCAACATGGTCTCAGGACCCGTCCCGTTCCAAACCCTCTAGGTTCGGGGCCAACCCGACAAATTCTCGTTTTTTGTTTTAAGAAAAGAATAAAATTTATATTTGTTTAAACAATTTAATACTAAAAAAAATATGCATTAAAGTACCAAAAAGTTATAGTTTAAGAATAATAAAATATTGACAATAGTTCGCAGTGATGTTGATCAGCAGTAATCTCGATTATAAAAAGAATTATAGGAGAAATAAATGCAAAGACAAATTTGATTTATATTAAGGTTATATTTTATATTTAAGTTTTTTAAAATAAATAAATAATATATTTTAAATTATATAAAAATATAAATAAATTATAATAATTATTAAAATATTTGGGTTTGGATCCGGGTCCGGAGAGGGACGGGTTTTTAGTAAAACCCATAATCCGCCCAAATCCAGTCGGATCTAAAAATCAAAATTCACATCTCACCCCAAACCAAATTTTTTAAACCCAAATCCGCTCCATTAAGACCGAATTCGGACAGATCCGGAGCTACCCGGCCGCATTTGACATCCTAGGCATTTCCCCTCCAAATCCCTGCATTTGACATCCTAGGCATTTCCCCTCCAAATCCCTTCTAGTGTTTATATTGGTTATAATTTTATCACAAAGCTAGGGGATGTGTTCTTTTAGTAAAAACATATAAATATATATTTTTTTAAAAAAATATTAATGTATTATATTTATTCATGTACATAATACTCTCTCCGTCCACTTACAATATTTACATATTTTTATTTTAGGACATCAAATTATAAAATTAATATTTCATTAAATACCTTACTTTTTTTCACAAATACCTTTACTTTACATCACATCATTATTTTTACACAAAAAAAATATAGGCAAAAATGTCATTACATTACTTTTAACTACTCACTATAATTAAAATACTATTATTTTTTAAACACCGCGCCAAAAGTAAATGTAAACTTTGTAAGTGAACATGGGGTGTTTTTTTCTAAAACAATACCATTTTAAACTATTTTACAAAACAAATATATCCCAGAGCTATTTTACAATTAAAAAGGACAAAAGTATCCATTTTGCATTCACTAATACAAGATTATGACTTCATAAGTGAATCATAACATAGATATTTTACCCGGCCCATTATATTTTTTATTAGTTTGGAATAAGATCATGTATTATGGATTATATTTATTTAAATTTATATTTCAAACACTTTAATTTAGCAACAATATCATTAAGTATTTTTTTAACAAAATCATTTTTTATTTAACTTTCGACTTTTCATCATCAATGAAGAGTGATCGAATGAGAGTAATGTGTCTATTTTCAGTAGCGAAATCAACTGACAAATTTTAAGAGTTAACTATGTTAAAACGGAAGATTGAAAAAGATTTTTGGAATAAAAAAAAATTGATAGCTAATGATCATCATTTTTCTTAATTTAGAAGAGAAAATATCTTGTTTCTACTATTCCACAATCGACAATTGGTTTCCCACATTTAAATTATTGCAAATATGTATAAATAGTGATTGTATTCTTCATTGTAATATATTCATTTTGACAAAGTATATATAAACACTCCTCAAACCAATTTCTTCTTGTTATTAAATTGTTTGTATACTTTTACTAATTTGATAGTGTTTTTAAAAAATTATTCTTATCACAATAGTAGCTTATGAAAAATATATATATATATATATATAATAGAGTGATAATTTTAGTATTTTAAAGGGAAAATTAGAATAATTATATAAAAAATACATTTCCAATAAATGAAATAAATAAAATTTAGGATTTGGGGCCGGTGCCGACGGATGAATCTTTAAAAGATACTGCAATAACACTTAAAATCATTGCACACAAAATCCATTCTTTCAAGCTCATCTCCAACCAAACAATTTTATTTATACAGTTATAACTCTAAACAGTTGTTACATTAATTTTATTCCAACCTACAATTCTATTTTCAATTCCAAAAAAAATATTCTCTAAATATTCTATTTTATATATTATTTTAAACAATTTTTTATATTAAAAAAATATAAATATACACAATTAAAATAAAAAAATTACAAATTGGTCCTTATTGAGACCAATTTACAATTTATAAAAATTAAAAATAAAAAGAAAAAAACACTATAATTGACGTTGCCAACACCAAAATAGTATTGCACTGTAACAAACATAAAAAAAAAAAAAAAAAAAAAAAAAAAAAAAAGGGAGGAGAATGGAATTGCATTGGAGAAACATATCTCCAAATATGGAGTTGGAGAATGCCTAAAACTTACGATAAAGAAGTAAAGATTACGAAATTATTATAATTTTATTCATAATTTAGTCTTTTACACAATATTTTAGCAATTAAATTCAGATCGAATTAATAAAAACATACACTCATTTAGATATAAAGTAAATAACATTAAAATTTGTGTCAATATAATTATTAGGTGTGTTTGTTAGGGGTTTCATTTTAATTTTAGATTTAAATACTGAATTTGAATAGCTGTACGTAATAGAAATATGTATCGACGTAATATTTTGAACATAAAATTATTTATAATATAATATAAAAAGATAAAAAAATTGACATTTGCTTTAATAAATTTTTAAGAAAATGAATAATAAAAATGGAGTAAAATTTAATAAAAATACACACCTTATTTTTAAGAGAAGGAACTATTATCACTTAAATTTGAATAATTATTTAATTTGATATAAATGAATAATAATATAATATTTTAAATCTAAAATAAACTTTAAAAACAATATTATTTTTTTTTGATGTTTTTAAAGGTAAAAAAAATTCAAAAAGTAAAATTATTGTGTAAAAAAAAAAATATATATACATCCTTAATTTTTTGTTGCTTTGTTTGGAGAATAACTTTTTAAGAATTTTAAAAATAGTTAAAAGTAAATAATTGAATCAATATTTTATAAAATATATATATATATTAGAGATAATATTTAAAAAAAATAAATAGTGCTAGCAATAATGAAAATGGTTGCACGCTTTATTTCTCCAAAAGTCTCATATCCTCTTCCCAGTGGCCTGTTCTGCAACGCATTAATTACCAGTGTCAGTTATTCCGATACCCAATGTACTTAGCAATGGCGATGAGCGGCGCCGCCGCGACCGGATCAAATCCGGCCAACTGCTCCAACGCCTCCTCGCTCAGCTCCTCCGCAACCTCCCTCGATTTCTCGATCCCAATCAGCTTCGGATAAGTCGTCTTGTCGCTCACCAAATCCTTCCCAGCGGTCTTCCCCAGCTCCTCCGACGACTTCGTCACGTCGAGAATGTCGTCCACCACCTGAAACAGCAGTCCGACGCACCTCGCGAACCGCCGGAGCCGCTCGATTTCGCCGTCTCCGCCGCCACCGACGATGGCCCCCATCACAACCGCCGCCTCCAGAAGCGACGCCGTTTTGTTGACGTGGATAAATTCCAGCCGTTCGATCCCCACATCGGATTTCCCCTGAGAGAAAATGTCGGCCACCTGTCCGGCGACGAGGCTCCCGCCGACGTAGCCGCTGAGCTCGCCGACGGCCCTGACAACTCTCTCCGGCGAAACCCCTTCGGCGGCGGTGGCCACGGCGAGATGCTCGAAGGCGTAGGCGAGGAGCGAGTCGCCGGCGAGGACGGCGGCGTCCTCGCCGTAGACCTTGTGGTTTGTCGGCATGCCGCGGCGGACGGCGTCGTTGTCCATGCACGGCAGGTCGTCGTGGATTAGAGTCATGGTGTGGATCATCTCCACCGCGCAGGCGGCGGGCATGGCGGCGGACTCCCGGCCGCCGAGGAGGTTGGAGGAAGCTATGCAGAGAATTGGTCGGACTCGCTTGCCGCCGGCGAGGAGGGAATATCTCATGGATTCGTGGATCTTGGTGGGGTCTTTGACGACAAGAGCTTGGTCCAAAGCTTTGTTGACATTATTGGCCTTTTCAAACATGTACGTTTCGAAATCGAAGGGGGCAGATGGAGACGACGACTGTTTGGATAAGGTCGCCGGCGCCGACATAATTAGGGGTTTTCCGACGGGGGGCTTCGAGGAAAATAAGGAATTTTTTAGAGCAGCCGGCGGCGGGGACGATGATGTTGATGATCGGAATCTTGAGGGTTTTGCTCCGATTCCGATTCCGATTCCGGTGGTGTGAGTGGTCGTGTTTATGACGAGATTCATGTTGTTGATTTCTCTGTAACTCAGAGTGTAAGAAACAGAGTAGCGTGTGAATCGACCGATACCTGTTTTCTGTCTTAAGTGATGAATTAACTAATTAAGAAGACGACAAAAACGTTTGTGGGTGACGTGGCATATGCTCGATCTGTAGTATGGTTCCGTCACTATATTCAATATATTGTCATATCTATCCTGATTAATTATTCCTCTTTAAATGCATATGACCTACGTATACATGGATTGTGGAATCCAGACACCCAAAACCTACGTTTTACCAAATAACAAGAAATAGAAATAAAAATAAAAATAATTTGTTTTGTTAATGAAGCAAAAATAATTTGATTTGTTAAGTCATCGCCTATTGCCTATTGCCTATTGCCTATTGGGGAGGACTGTCAGTAGGAAAAGACAAGTCTGGTGAACGGTGGGACCACCCTACCCGATTTTCTTTGGTAAACTCCTTTTCAGCTTAGAAAATACGACACCTATGTATATAAAAAATATAAAATATATTTATTTATTTATATATAATTAATATAAAATATAAAATTTTAAATATAAATAAAAATACATAAAAAATAAAAATAAAAAACTTTTTAATAAATTTTACATTATATTTATATATTATATCTTTAATTAATTTAATTTATATTTATTAAAAAATAATAGTATTTCATTAGTTAGTGAGAGTACATATTTTGACATTTAATTGTATATGTAATGTTATGCTAATAATTTAAGTAACAATTAATGATATTTTGATATTAATATATAATTATTTTTTACTAAAATAAAAAATAAATATTTTGGAGTGAGATAGACAAAAAATTCTAAAATTGATATTTTGAGTTGAGAATATTTTAATTTGGTAAATTTTATTAAATATAAAAAAAAAATATCAATTATTATATCATAGACAAAAATGAAAAAAAAAATAAAAAATATAATTATAGTTATGTTCGGTTTCATTTGAAAATAGTATGAATACTTTTTGTTAAATCCAAAATTTAATTATTCATGATTCAATTATTTATAAATAATGCAAGTAAAAAAAATGCAATAAATCAAACTTTCGTATTAAATACTATTAACACGGTTCGAGCATAAATATATTGTAATTTTAACAAATAATCGAACTGTATCCATTTCTAAATCCGTATTACGAGTATTTGATACTTTAAGCTTTTATATTACTATTTCTGTCCCACATACTGTGTGTTACATTGTAGACATTGTATTTTAAAAGGAGTGTAATTAGTAGATAATTAAAAATGTATTAATGAAAATAATTATGCTATAATATAAATAATTATAAATTAAAATTAAGATAATTAATTAGTTTAATTAAAATTTTAAAAAAATAAAATTAAAAAGTTTAAAATAAGATTAAAATGTATAATTATTTTTCAAAAATTAAAGTGACATGGTATGTGGGACGGACAGAAACGGCAACGTGGACATGATATGTGGGACGGAGGGAATACGTTACATTATGTGTTTGTTTGGAAGATTCTCTCTAAATTCCGTTATTCATAAATTTTTTCTCCGTAAACGATCAAATCATGGGACTTATTTTTTATTTTTTTATATATTATACTAAAAATCAATTTTATATTTAAAATATCATATAACAATTACTTATCTCATATCATGTAACTATTTAAATTCAAATTTTTTAATATTCAAAATTTCATCACAAAATTCAAATTCAGACAAACACAAATGTATGCAGCAAATACCAAGGGTGGACAAGTTCGGATATGTACAAATATGCAAGTATTTGATATCTGAACCGAATCGAACAAATATTCGAAATCGCAAACCGTATCCAAATCGAAAATTTCGATTAGCCGAAAATATTGGCAATCTTTGCAAATAATTAAAACCGAATCGAAATTTTCAAAATTATATTTAAATAAATAATGAAAATTCTAATTAAATAAAAATATTTGTAAATATTTCAAATATTCGAATCGAAATCGAACCGAATATAATTATTAATATAAAATTTAAAATATAATTATATAAATATATATATATATATTTTTTATTCGGTTAACAGAACCTAAAAAAAATCTCAAAAATATAATTGAATAAATATTAAATATAGAGTATTTGTATTCGAATCAAATTTATTCTGTTAGCTGAAAATTCAATTCAATTCAATTCAATTCAGTTTAGTTCAGCAGTTAGGCGGTTCAGATCGACTCTTTTACCCACCACTAGCCACTACCCAATCAGAACCTGTCCAGTATAACCCTAAGATCATCGTTCCCCCAATCCTCTTGCTCCTGCACAATCTCACGCACAGACTCCTTAATCGATTCTCCACAGCACCACACCTTAATCGATTGCAGACTCCCAATATGACCAATCTCTCTCGGAATCCTTACCAGAAAGTTGCAAAATCGCACCACCAGCTGCTCCAGCTTGGGGAAATGATCACCACAAGACACCTCCCATTGCTCCACATCCAAATGCCATAGCTCCAGCCATCTCAGCTTCTGGAATTCGAACTCCCTCGTCTCCCATCGCTTTCCGACGAATGCATCGCGTCGTAATTTTAAAACCTCGAGGTTCGGCAATGCGCCGAGCATCGACATCTTTCGCCATGGAAAGCAGAAGCCATTAAGACTCACCTTTCTCAGAGTATCTGGGAATCGAATCTCGATCATCCTACATCGGCCGGAGGATGACACTGACAGCGACTCCAGTGCTCGAAGAAAACTCAAGTCGAAGCACCGAGGAATAATTGCCTTACCCTTCCGCGACGACGAGAAAAAGTTGCATTTGAGTCTGCGAAGATGAGGTGAATATTTGAGAATTTCGTCGTAGTTTTGTTTTTCGATGTAGAAAAGGGAGAGAAACTCCAAGTTATTTGTTTCGGAGATGTTACGACAGGAATTGTCGGGAATGACATTGTAGGCTCTGAGGTATCTCAGCTTCGGCATCTTCAGTATAGCCGGCGACAGACGGATTTCTCTTGCGACAATGAGATATTCGAGGTTTGTAAGATTTAGGATACATTTCGGCGCTTGTCTTAGCGACAAGTATCTCAAGTTTACGAGCCTTTCGATCCCAATCACGTTGTAAGAGCTGCTCCAATATTGCGCCAAACAATCTAAAACTCGAAGCAGTTTCAAGTTGTCGACAGAAAGATGTTCACTCGGCGATGCTGACAAAAAGAATGATCGAATCCAAGGGCCGTAAGGTTGTAAGCATTTACAAGACGATTGAAGAACCAGACGATTCGACAAAAAGAATGACTCGATCCCGGCGCAATATTTTGGATCGAACCTCCATTGATCCCTGTAAAGAAGATAATAATGCACATAATTACCGTCTCAAATAAAAACTCAAACTATTAAGAAAATATATCATTAATATATTTATCCGCAAACGAGAGTTCCTAACAATTAGTTCATTCAAATTTCGCGCAAACCTTACCGAATTTCGCGCTTCAGAAAGTTCTCTGCCTCGCCGATTCGCAAACACATATCATGCAGCAGATCATGAACTACGCATGTTTTTGCTCCCCCATTCGATCGCCTTTTCACAACTATGACGAGGCTTTTGTTTATCAAATCGATCAAATATTCTTCGCCCAAACTCTCGGCTTCTTTCTTCTTCGACTTATTTACAAAACCTTCGGCAATCCATAACTGTATCAGCTTGGTAACAGAGATTTCTGTGTCTTCTTGAAACACGCCGAAATAAAGAAAGCACGGCTTCAAATGATGCGGCAAATGTGTGTAGCTAAGCTCCAAAATTTGCATAATCGACTTATTTTGATCGAGAGAAAGATACGAATCCAAATTTCGCGCTACATTTTCCCATGTTAGAACTTCCTTATCCATACTCGAAAGAACACCTCCTATAACAGTCGCAACAAGCGGCAATCCTTTGCATTTCGCCGCGATTTCCTGTCCGATCCTCTTCAGTTCTTCATGACAAGTTCCCCGGCCGAAGATCTTCCTCTCTAAAAGCCTCCAACATTGATCGTTAGACCAAAATGGAAGCTTGTTAACAACGCTACCTGTTGTGACGGATTAGAGTTAGTGATCAAATAACAAATAGAAACCTAAAGAAGATACAGATTTACGTGGTTTACAAAAAATGTGTTAGCTGCAGAATTAAGGACGGCTGCATTCCAAATTACATATTTCATAGCTCTATTTAAATAAATTAAGAGATTGAGCCCAATACTAACTCAAAGGCCCCAATATTGCATATCGTCGGGCTGGGGGTCACTCCGCGCCCCCAAACCCCAGGCAAGGGGGTTTGCCCCACTTGACCCCCGACTCGCTGACCGAGCAGCGAGATCCTGTGAAAATTTAGCAAAGTAACAAACTAAATTTAAGGCATATCAACACTACCTGGTGGAGCCACATCTTTGTTTCGAGATGTAAACAATATCCGGCTGCCATTTGCAACGTCGGCGAAGCAAATTCGAAGATCATCCCATGTATTGTAGCTCCATATATCGTCCAACGTCACCAAACATCTCCTTCCCAATAAAATTTGTCGGATTTTTATGGCGACGCCATCTTCATCCAATCCCTCTGTTTCAGCCCCTTCTTCCAAATTGCTCAAAATGTCACTCAGCAGATTCTTCCTATGATAATTCTGGGAAACAATGGAAAAAGATCGTCTGTCGAATCGTTCAACGACTGAAGGATGATCGTGTAGCTTCTTTGCCAGCGTCGATTTTCCAAGTCCAGGCGTCCCGACAATAGAAATTATCTGTAAACTTTCAGTTCCTCCCATAAGTTTCTCAAGGATACTCATTTCCTCTTCTTCGAAAAATCCATTTCCAATGTCGCCGTCTTCAGCACCCATTCGCCATTGCAATGGCTGTCGAGCACAATAATCTTTCGATACTATTAACGCCCTGGATTCGTAATTTTTCAGCATTTCTCGAACCCGAGCCTGAATCCTCTCTACATTATGGATGACATTCTTGAGACTAACAGTTAGGTACCACAAAGGAGCTTCTCCAACCAAGAAAGAATCAATCAAATGTTCGACTCCGTAAGCAATATTCCTAACTTGACCAGCAACATCTCTGAATTCTTGTGTGTCTAAATTCTTTTCGATCATCGGCCAGAACATCATTATACCTCGATCGAGCATCTCGATCTGATCTTTCACCTCAACCAATCGAACATCGCATCGAATCGTCTCTATTTCATTCAAGAGAGAATCGACAATGAAGTAAGAATCAACATCGCGATAAACAACCTTGGAAGTGATCAAATTCGGCAGTGTCTTCAAGAATTCAGTAACATTACATTTCAAGAGGGTAATAGTTTCAGAGAAAGATTCATCCACTTTCTTACAACTTCGATCATACGAAAATAAGACAGAGTGCACAAATCTTCCTGCGTCGTTCACTACACCTTCAAATTGTTCTAGCAGGCACTGAACTTGTTCGTCCTCACTCGCTTGAAAAGGTGTGTCTTGAAAAATGGTGATGAAACATCTCAGCTCCTTAAGAACATCATTAATTCCAGATACAGATAAATCTTTGTTGTTTTTAAGGAATTGGCCAAGAACTTCAACAAATCCAGCTACAAGTCTAATTTTTTTTAGGGCATTAATACCTTCTTCTTCTTCTTCCTCTTTCTGAAGCTTTGGCACTTTGAACACTTCGTTAAGGTCATTCAAGAAAGATTTCACCATTTCTGCAACTAGTTTGTACTTGTTATGGCTGAATCTGCCTTCCCAAAGCACACTGTTCCACATCTTCAAGTGATTGTTCGAACTGAGGTCAGAGTCAGCACCCAAGCTTGCGACATAATTACGGAAAATTCTCAGGTCTGATAAAGAACATGGGATATTCATTCTATAGACATGGTTTTTGCTATCCCTTTTATTGTTTTTGTCGCAGACAACGTAGGACTTTTTAATCCACTCGATTATTTCTTGGAGAAGGGTTTGTAGGATTTGGGTATTCTTCATCATCGATCACTCAAAATCTGGCAGAAATTAGGTTAAGAAATGATTGGTCTCTGTAAGTGTCTTGGAGGGATGGTTTTATCGGTCTGGAAGTTGCAAATTTTCTGCCAATGTTATCTTTAGTTCGAATACGTAACCGAATCAGCCACAACCATTTTTCAATCGGGCTGGCCCGACCCTGACCTGACCCGACCCAGCGAAGAAAAAACAAAAAGGTCGAGTCTTGAAGCCTGACATTCCGTCGAACACCTCTGGCTCAAGAAACTCACCGATCAAATGACAAGAAGCATCGGTCGCAGAGGTAACCCGTTCATCTTCTTCTTCCGCGAGCTCCTTGATGATCAATTCTGCAATTTTAATCTTACCTCGCATCACTTTAATCACCCCATTCGCTTTCTTTCCCAACCTCCCATTCTCAAACCTTACAAAACCCCCAATCTCACTCATACCCTCACGACCACCCCTATTTCAAAACTCGTCTCCTTTGCTTCTTCACCCGACGCCAACACCGACGAAAATCCCGAATTCGAGCGCGATGATGTTGTCGACGAAGACATATCCAGCGAAAGCGCAGGTTGTTCTTCTCCTGATTTGGAGACAATTAGGGACATTTTGCGAACAGGTAGTGTGCAGGAAAAGAGCCAAAAGCTCCAGCGATGCAGAGGGACTGTAACGCCGGAACTAGTCGCCGACGTTCTCTCCGGCACACGGAATGACTGGGAAACGGCGTTCACTTTCTTCCTATGGGCGGGCAAGCAGCCAAACTACGCTCATTCCCTTCGCGAGTACCACTCCATGATTGCAATCCTCGGCAAGTTCCGGAAGTTCGACACTGCCTGGTCTTTGATCGACGAAATGAAAGCTGCCTCAATCGCTACTCCCCACACGCTACTGATAATGATTAGGAAATACGCCGCCGTGCACGACGTCGCTAGGGCAATCAGCGCATTCTACGCCCACCGGCGATTCAACTTCAAATTAGGTATGGAGGAGTTCCAAGGTCTTCTATCAGCTCTGTGTAGATACAAAAATGTCAAAGACGCAGAGCATCTCCTCTTCTGCAATGCATCTGCGTTTCCTCTAAACACCAAAAGCTTTAACATCATACTCAACGGATGGTGCAATGTGATCGGCGATTTGAGGGAAGGAAAGAGGATATGGAAGGTGATGTCGATGAGAGGGATCGAGCACGACGTATATTCGTATGCGAGCATTATGTCGTGCCATTCGAAGATGAACAATCTAAAAGTGGTGCTCGATTTCTACGAAAGGATGAAGCAATTAGGGAAGAAGCCTGACAGAAAGGTATACAATGCAGTGATTCATGCTCTTGCGAAAGGAAGGCTCGTAAAAGAAGCTCGAAATGTAATGGAAAGGATGGAAGGGGAAGGTGTTAGGCCAGACGAGGCGACGTATAATTCTTTAATAATGCCGCTTTGTAAGTCGAGGATGTTAGAAGAAGCCCGTAAATTTTTTGACGAGATGGTGGAGCGAGGCCTGCGGCCGACTGTTCGAACATTCCACGGATTCTTTAGGGTGTTTAGGACAGGGGAAGAAGTGTTTGACCTTTTGCGGACAATGTACAAGGTTGGATGCTGTCCAAGCCACGAGACGTATGTAATGCTGATCAGGAAATTTTGTCGATGGCGCGAGGTTGAGACGGTTTTTTATATATGGGATGAGATGCGCGAGAATGGTCTTGATCCTGATCGAAGTTGTTACGTTGCGTTAATACATGGTCTTTTTTTGAATGGGAGATTGGAGGAGGCGCATAAGTACTATGTTGAAATGAAGGAAAAGGATTTGTTGCCGGAGCCGAGTGTGGATGCGATGATCCGGGCTTGGTTGGAAGGTAAGAAGGACGGGAACGAGGAAGTAGTGATGTTGAGAGGCGATTATTACGACGATTGGGATGTTAGAGAAAGTGGAAGAGTGGAGTTAAGGAAAAATCGCAAGGACAGCGATTTCCTAAGACGACCAGAATTGAGAAGTGTTACGAGGGAGCGTGGCTTTTCTTTCTGGGAAAACAAAGTATTCGACTAAAATTGAATTGCAGCTTCTGGTGATGTCGAAAATTTCAGTATGTTCTTGAACTAGATGATTTTGATGCTTTTGGTAGTTGTCTTGCAGTATACATAGTTCATTTTACGAGTTTTCTGGAACGATCGAGCAAAAGAATCTGGGATCTATTTATTTATAGGTGAAGAACTTGAAGTTTTATTACTTATCTGGAAGCTCTGTATGGAGACAGATCTCACGCAGGTTGTCTTCTTCGAAATTGGTATGTTTCTGCAGTTAAGAGTTATTGATTTGTATTGTTTAACAGAGCAGAAAAATACGGGTTTGTTTACTTATCCATGATTTTACTATTCTAATTATTTTTTTTTTCAAAAATATCGAATCAAACATTCAATTTTTTAATTTATTTTATTATATTAAAATCTAATTTTATATAACATAACATAAAAAAATCAAAATCAAAACTTCACAAGTATAAGCACCCGTGCATCTTTTGCTAGTAATAGTATGTGTTTCACTGCATTTTAGGTAGTAATATAAACATATTATGAATTTTAGATTGTCCGATACCATATAAATTTTCTCCTTTATCATGTCAACAATATGAATAGCATGTGGTTCGATAATCTGAATTGAAATATGACCACACGGTCGGGAGTCTGATATATTAATATGATAATATGTAAGGGTATGTTTAGTTTGCTAAAAACCACAGGTTTTACCATTTGAATTTTGTATTTTTTCGAAAAAAAATATATTTATTATTTTAATATTAAATTCAAACCTGATTTTAATATTAAATTGAAACCAATTTTTTTTTAAACTTATCTAAAGAAACGGACCTAAGAACTGTGTTCCTTTTGCATCTAATGTAAATTTTTATTTAAATTATATATTTTGTAAAAATATATAATACATGTATATGAAAACGGATAATAAAAATAAATAAATAAATAAAGTGCAAAAAGAATACACTTCTTGAATTTGTAGTTAACCAAATTGCCAAGTGGCCCGGCCCATGCCTGCTTGACCAGGCCCGGTTTAGCTTGGGTCCAAATAAAATAGAATTCCTACTGGGCCATCCTAGGTTGGGCAAAATAATATTTAATACAATATTTTTTTTTAAAAAAAAACTGAATAATGGTAAGTCTCTAAATTGTTGTATAAACAATTGCTGAATATTACATACGTCCAGGTCTCATTTACTTTTTCGGTCTATAAATATTAATTATTATATGAAAATATAGTATAAATTAAAATAAAATTGCAAAAATACTTTAAAATTAGTGTAGGACATTTATTAAAAAAAATTATATAAATATAAAGATATTTTTAATATTAAGTAAATGACACAAAATGTAAATGTGATCCTTAAAGATGGACGGAGGGAGTATAAACTAATCCAAGCCGAATTGCTAACTTTTATTCATGTATTGTATTGCAAAACACGGATTGTAAACTAAAATTGAAATGTTGCTTCTCGTAGGCTATATGTACACTTGAAACATAAAATCAATTTTTTTTTTCTTTGCGTAATTTACTAATTTTCCACATAGTTTTACGCGTTATTCATCGCCGTACAAAATATACTCTACAAGCAAAACGCCGGGGGATCCATAAGCCTATTTGCCCGGCCGGTAATGGTATACCGTAGAGGTCTTTTTTGTTTGCATTATCACTACGGTCGACTAAGTGCACGCACATTATGTTATTAGAACAAATTTACTCTTTTTTTTACCACTGCATTTAATCTAAATCTATTACTAATATTTAAATATGACGGATTATAACTAATTAGTACGGTGCTGATTAACTATTAATATAATACATGCACTATTATAAATATACTAAAGTATACATTCTCTGTCCTAATACAATAGTTTTGTTTATCATTTTTATCAGTGATAAAATAATAGTCTCATTTTCATAAATATTCATATCACCGTAAAATTTACCCTATTTTTTTATTATTATTACACAAATACCACTACTTTTTACACTAATACACTCACAAGGATAAAAAAGTCTTTTATTCATACTTTTTACCGACTCAATATAATATTATTATTTCTTAAATCACGTGCCCAACACAAATAGAACTATAATTATGGAACGAATGAAGTATATAAATACATGATAATTCCTTCTAGATAACATATACTAATCCGGTCAAATCAGCAATATACAAACACTCCAAACCAAGGATCGATACATACATACATAAGAAAGCTAGACATTAAATTTACATAATTGGCCCTTATCCACATTGATCGATCGATCTACACAACTCCCTACTAATATTCAATACTAAATATAATATTAGGCCTTAATATATTAACTAATTACAACAAATAGTAGAGATCATTATCCCATTGATGTCCCATTAATGTCCCATGAGGATATTCTTGGTTAATGACGACGTTGTTGCAGTCTTCTTCAACATAAAGAAAACCCTCAATTCCGTACTCCCCAATGAAACACCATGGATCAAACGACGTCGTCGAACTCGGACTACTATTAATATTATTATTATTGTTGCAGCTCCGCCCCACGCCGTCCGATCTCTCCGCCGTCAGCCGTCGGATCTCCTTCTCGGCTTCTTGCAGTTGCTCCCTCAGCTGCACAACCTGCACCACCAGAGAATATATAAATAAAATAAAAATAAAAATAAAAACAAAAACAATGAATTAATTTACTTTAAAATTTTGAAATAAAGGGGAGGGAGATAGACGACTGAGACAAATGGCTGTGGAGGTGGATGAATCTGGAGCGTACACGTGGCAGGAGGATTCTGTATCAAGGCAGACAGGCTATGGGTGAGCAGTACTGCTGTCGTGTCCACCTTAAATTAACAAATGTGTTTAGGGGAGGCGAATCTAGTACACTTTGCTTTCTCTCTCTAGCCAGATTCCATTTATCCCATGATATCCATTCACATTTATTTTGCAGAGATATCATAGTACTATTTCTAGACTACAATGCATGCACCTGGATTTCATCTTCTTTCATGTAAAAATAGTGACACAAAATAGATAATAATGTAAATCAAGAAAAATAAATAAATAAATGATTTTCATTTGTGATCCTAAACATTCAACAAGTTATACATAAATTTCTCCTCATTTTCCCTAAACACTATTAATCTTTATGTCAAGACTTACAAAGAATGGAAATTTCAAATTATACGAAACCCTAACCAAAAAATATTCTTGAACCCTAAATTATGAAATTATTTAAGCTCTCTTTAAAACTTTCAAAATGAAGTTACTGCTGTGAATTAAAGGTTTTTACTTTCCCTAAATGTGTGGATACGTGTGAGAAACAATGATCCATCGATGTGTTCAAGATTAGCAAGATACACACACACACACACACATATATATATATATATATAAGATATAAATTAACTTACTGCAGACATTTTGATGGCACTGTCTAAACATATATTAAATTGAATGAAACATGTGATCAGCATCGAGCTAGTACATCGCACTCGAAGCACATTCTTTCACATGAGAAGATCACATTTAAAAAATTAAACACATATACATACACACACACACACACATATATATATATGAAAAGTTCAAAAATCCGACAGACCACTCACAAGTTGATCCTATAAAACTATTTATTACCCCTTTCCTGCTAATTTTTTTTTTAATTGTCTTGTATACATATATATATATGGTAGAGAGAGAGAAGTGAATTAATGCAGAAGAATATTTATATACATATATATATATATAATTAAAAATAAGAAAGTAAGCAAAGGGTATACGTACTTGAGTGTGAAGATGGGTTTTCTCGAGGAGTTGATTGTGGTGCAAAGATTTGAGCTTTGCGTACTCCTCCTCGAGCTGCTTGGTGCGCCACCGTGTGCGGCGGTTCTGGAACCAGACGGCGACCTGGCGGGGCTCGAGGCCGAGCTCGGCGGCCAGCCTGTCCTTCCTCCCGGTCTCCAGTTTGTGCTCGCTCCAGAAGCTCTGCTCCAGCAAGCTCGCCTGTTCATCGCTCAGCTTCCTCTTCCTCATCATTCCCTTCCCCTCTCCTCCTCCTCCTCCTCTGTTCCTCTTTCGCCGCCGCTTCGCCTTCGAGCTTCCGCCCACTACGCCTGCACAGTTGATTAATTTCGAATTCGATCATCATTCAATCATTGTATATACCAGATGAAGACGAGAATGGATATATATATGTGTATGTATGTATGTACCTGGGTTGGGGTTGGGGGGTACGAGGGGAGTGGAGAAGTCAGAGATGGCTGCCGCCAGGGATGATTGATCGTGGTCCATTTCGGAGATGTTGTTGTTCATGATGGTTTTAGGTTTATATTTCGGATCTGATGGAGCTTATACAGTGTGTGTGTGTGTGTCAATTCAATGGTGGATATGTTGGGGAAGTGGAGAGTATTGTGAGGGCAAAAGAGCGGATATTATCTTATATCCTAGGAAGACTTTAGGGGTGGGTTCACCCTTTATTTATAAACATCACTTCTTGTAATAATTTGCTAATTAGTCTTGCTCTTCCCAACAATTTCAAGAATGCCATCCCTCTCTCTCTCTCTCTCTCTCTTTCTCTCTCACACACACATGGACATTTGATTATAACTCTAGTGATTAGAATACATCTAGTTGTATGTATATATATATATTCCTTAATTATTCTTTATCATGTAAATTATCTAAACGTAGAAGTCTTTTTTTTTTTTCAGAAAAAATGAAAAAAGAGCTCTATAGAGCTCTCTCTCTCTCTCTCTCTCTCTCTCTCTCTCTCTCTCTCTCTATATATATATATATATAGCATTGGTTTACCTATAAAATGAGGGTATAGTCGATGGGAAAAATCTAAAACAAAGATGAAATGGAAAGGGTTTAAGAGAGAAAGAATAAAAATTTAACTCATAATATTCCCCAAGGAAGAAATTAAGAAGAATTATGCTTGCGATTTATACATCTCGACACTTTATTTGTTTGTACTTCTTATTTATGGATAGCAATAGTTTTTTAAAGGCTTGTTGTCTAAAACTATATATTGTGTTATTATTAGTGACTTTAAACATCTCTTTCAATATCCTTTAAAAATGATTTAATTCTGCAGTAAATTTATGGTTGCAACATACAAAAATATTTCTCGACCAAAATTGTGTGTAGATATTCTTATTTATCTACATGACACGCACACACAAATATATATATAATATATATATATAGAGAGAGAGAAAGATATTATTTTCACACAAATTGTTGAATATGTCTTACAACCGAAAAAATGTGAGAATTCCCTTAATTTAAAAGGGTGAAAGCCGGCCTATCTATCATCAGTTAGTTTTAAATTAAAAGTCTAAATTTCTTTTTACCAAATCTACACATGAATTAGGAAATTCTTTGTGTTGTTGTTAACCATGCTTAAAATACTCAAAATTAAATTTATGATTTTATAATAATGTGTTTAACATTTTTTTTCCCTATTAATCAGTATTTTGAAGTTTGAGAGAGTTTTGAGAATAAAGTTGAATAAAAATTACTTATTTGATGTAATATAAATAAACATTGGATGTCATATATTATATATATATAATAAGTTTTTAAAGTATGATTTTATATAAAGAATAATTATTTAATGCAATTTTGTTTTTCAAAAAATATACTGTTGAAGAGTAATTCCAAAATAATATGAAAATATATCTAAAAAGAGCCTAATTATTCTCTTGATTTTCATATTTCATACAACACATGGGGGTTTGTTTAATTTTAATATATATAATTGATTTATTTTATTATTTAATCTCATAAAAAATGCATTATCCAAAATTTCAAAGTAATGATTGCCTATTAAAAAACGAATTGTCAAAATCCAACAAAATTAATGATTGTTGATTAATGATATATATATAAAATTGACAAGCACCACAAGACTACGACATGTGTTAAAAAATAAGAACCGATAACAAAAAAAAAAAAAAAAGTGAATGACAATCTTTAATTTAATTTAATTTACTATATATAATTCAGGACTTATGAACTAAGTAATTTAACCAATTAAGGGATTGAAGTAACTTTTTGATTGTTGTCTCAACTTAGTGAAACGTGATTCAATTAAAGAAGTATGGTGAGTTGTTTTCGAATAAGCTAGCAAAAAAATGCATGTGAAAAATTCAATCATGCATAAAAAACACAAACAAACAAGAACCAAAATGAATCGACCAAGCATCAAAATATTGCAAAATTTCGATTGGGAGAATTGCATAGACATTTCTTGTGTGGAAGAAACACTTACATTTTTGGTCGACTTGATGAAAAAGGCAAAATGGCAGCAACTCATAAAAGGAAACTATAAGGGCCATTTAGGGTTTCATTGGATTATTAAGTGGATAATCTCCCCACTTTATTTATTTATTTAATTATATTCTTACAAAAAATAAAAATAAAAATATCTTGGAATCATATGTTTGAATTATTGATCCCTTTGTATGTGTTTCTTTTTCTCGACAATGACTTTTGTGTGGATAAACTTGCATTAATTAGTTTCTCAATCCATTTTTAGTGTTATGTATATCGGGACAGTTACGGTACTAATCACTAAGACAAATTAATATATGTTTTTCTTTGACACAACATATGTTATGTTAAGTTAAAGCATTTATTATCCAATAAATACTTGCAACTGTTTTGTATAAATATATATATATATATATTTTATACTGAAATTAGTTAATAATAACATTTGATATATGAAATTAGGCTATAGATCTGGTGTTGATCCGTCTAAGTCAGTATAATGCTAATTTGATCAGTCAACATATGTCATACGGGTGACTGACATATGTTGTTTTATAAAATATGTTTATGTATAAATATATATATGCCGACCACTCCTGATATCTGAGTGTTGTCTATTACCACATGAAATTATATCTGAGTGTTGTCTATTAGTACATGATGTGTTGTCTTTACTGAAGTACAATAACAACCGTCTATATATATATATATATATATGTTTGTCTCGTGTCACCCTTTGATTCAATAACAAAAAAATTACATGTTATTTGTAAATTTAAACATTATATTCGTGTTGTTTGTCTCTTAATGAAATTTAGAAAATTAGGTTTGTTTTATAAGATTTGTTAGATAATTGTAAGTGATTGAATTTGGTTGACATGAGGCAATTAAGCAAGGTGTGTGAAAGAGATCGAAATGCATTGTATGTTAGAGGCTTGGAGAACTTTCCACGTAGACACATAGAGACATCGGAATTGGTAAAGGAAAGCAGGTTGGAATTGGCTTTCCTAATTGGGAAAATTAAACCTGATGAGAGATAAGAAAAAAAATAAAAATAAATAAAAGGGCAGTTTTGAATGCAGTGAAAGACGACCACATGGAAGATGGCTCGAAAACAGTGGCCAGTGGTTGGACTATGAATATTTGGACATCTCTCATTGGTCCGTAGTATTAATGTCAGAATCGATCATATGAATGAAATCAATAATCGACAAATATAACCACTCACTCTCATAGTACAATCACACACAAATTAAACTAACTAAAGACAAATTAATTAATTGCTTGTCTTTTTATATATCAAATTTTGTCGGTAACCGTATGTAAATTGATATTTTCGGTATGTATCAAAATACTAAATTATTTTAGTATTTCATATATCGTTAATACCAATAATTTGGTATATTGAATTACCGGTAGAATACGATATATATATATATAGATATATATGTATGTTATACTAAATTTTCGTATACTGATTTTTTTTTTTTTGTATAAAGAATTTTTGGTATATTATCGGTATAATATTTTTCTTTTATATTGAAACTTTCGGTACAATATACGGAACCTGCGATATGAACTTTGGTATAAGTACTGACTACCCTTATGTATGAATGCATGTATATATAGAACATATACTTAGGTTGTTGATTAATCCTATTATATTAATATAAATATTATGGCGTTAGTTTATATTTTATGTGTTGTCAGTTTCTATTTTACGTAATGCCCAACACGTTGGTGGCTAATATTCCCTCTTGTCCGTCTTTAAGGGTCACATTTACCTTTTGCGACATTGTATTTAACATTAAAAATATTTTTATATTTGTATAATTTTTTGTACAAATGTCCTTCTATTAGTATTGTAAGACACTAATAGAAGTATTTTTGCATTTTTATTTTTAATTTGTACTACATTTTGATATCATAATTAATATTCAAATATCAACATACAAAAAGTAAATGAGACCCTTAGAACCAGATTGAGGTACGTAGTATAATTCAACACCGTAACAATATATATATATATATATATATAGTGAAGGGATAAATTCATGGTTGAATGCTCCAGGTCAGCCATATATAATTGATGGTTGCAATTGAAGAACATGCATGCATCCAAGTTCAAAGCCACGAGGATTTAATATTGAGGTCTTGTATTTTAGTATCCTTAATGTTAAAATAATCGGATTGCTTGATCAAATTATATATAGTTAGATTTAAATTAATAGTTTTATATATTGTGAGTTATGAAGTTGTTTTGGTGTATATTTATTTATTTATTTATTTTATGAATTGAAATAGTATATTTTTGTTGAATGGTAATGATCATTTTTATTTTGACACATTATTATAAAATAATGTATATGGACGACAAAATGATAATATTGTTTGAGTCAATTAAGTTGGGGCAAGTCAAGCAAGCGTGCAAAAAGGGACCATATTGTTTGTGTATAATAACAAAATATTATTGCAAACCCTCAACAAATGAATGATTTTTTTTTTTTTTTTTTTTTTAATTTTTAATTTCAACTCATCAATTTTAATGATAAAAAAAGACATATAATTTCATTTTTATAAAACATATCTTTAAATTAAAACTCAATTTCCAAATTAAAATAAAATTATACTCCCTCCGTCTCATAAAAGATGTCTTATTGGGAATGGACACGTGAAGAATAATAGTATTTAATTTAAAGTGAGTATAAAGTAGAAAGTAAAAAACTAAAATACCCTTACTTTTGAATTATTTTAGAAAGTAGGTTAAAGTAATAATTACGGGTAGTTTGAAAAAGTATGAATAATTTTGTTATAAAGTGGGGACCACGATTATTAAATAAGGAAACGAACCAATTATTTTGAGACATAAGAAAATAGAAAAATAAGACAACTCTATTGGGATTGAGGAAGTATATGTCTCATGTCAACAGATACAGAAGAGCTCATATTCTTTAGTTGTTTTTATAAGTTGTTCTCTTTGTTGATTTTTCATAAAACTTTTACTATTTTTTTTTAAAAAAAAAGTTGTTTTTCAAACACTTTTTAGATCAAATAATTTTTTTTTATTTTTTACATTCAAAATATTATATTAAATATATTATATATTTATATAACATCAAATAACTATTCAAATTCAAATTTGTTTGGTTCAAAAATTCAAAATCAAAAGCCAAATCCACAAACAAATACACCTATTGTTTAATTTTGCAATATATATACACAGACATGCATGTCTGTATTTT